GTGCCGCTTGAAGACCGAAAAAATTACAAGAACTGCCCCAAACATCAAAAAAATCTGTTTCCCTGCCCGATCGGGTTGCCCTACGTGCCGCTTATACAAACCAACATTATCTATCTAAAAAACAGTTCATGCCCTACGTGCCGCTTGAAGACCGTTTAAAAATTAGAAGAACTGCCCCAAACATACAAAAATCTGTTTCCCTGCCCGATCGGGTTGCCCTACGTGCCGCTTACAGACCGATAGTAACTATTTAAAAATAAAGTTTATTCCCTACGTGCCGCTTGATAACCGTTTAAAAATTAGAAGAACTGCCCCAAACATACAAAAATCTGTTTCCCTGCCCGATCGGGTTGCCCTACGTGCCGCTTACAGACCGATAGTAACTATTTAAAAATAAAGTTTATTCCCTACGTGCCGCTTGATAACCGTTTAAAAATTAGAAGAACTGCCCCAAACATACAAAAATCTGTTTCCCTGCCCGATCGGGTTGCCCTACGTGCCGCTTACAAACCAATATTATCTAAAAAGAAGGTTTATTCCCTACGTGCCGCTTGATAACCGTTCAAAAATAACAAGAACTGCCCCAAACATACAAAAATCTGTTTCCCTGCCCGATCGGGTTGCCCTACGTGCCGCTTGAAGACCGAAAAAATTACAAGAACTGCCCCAAACATCAAAAAAATCTGTTTCCCTGCCCGATCGGGTTGCCCTACGTGCCGCTTACAGACCGATAGTAACTATTTAAAAATAAAGTTTATTCCCAACGTGCCGCTTGATAACCGTTTAAAAATTAGAAGAACTGCCCCAAACATACAAAAATCTGTTTCCCTGCCCGATCGGGTTGCCCTACGTGCCGCTTACAGACCGACAGTAACTATTTAAAAATAAAGTTTATTTCCTACGTGCCGCTTGAAGACCGAAAAAATTACAAGAACTGCCCCAAACATCAAAAAAATCTGTTTCCCTGCCCGATCGGGTTGCCCTACGTGCCGCTTATACAAACCAACATTATCTATCTAAAAAACAGTTCATGCCCTACGTGCCGCTTGAAGACCGTTTAAAAATTAGAAGAACTGCCCCAAACATACAAAAATCTGTTTCCCTGCCCGATCGGGTTGCCCTACGTGCCGCTTACAGACCGATAGTAACTATTTAAAAATAAAGTTTATTCCCTACGTGCCGCTTGATAACCGTTTAAAAATTAGAAGAACTGCCCCAAACATACAAAAATCTGTTTCCCTGCCCGATCGGGTTGCCCTACGTGCCGCTTACAGACCGATAGTAACTATTTAAAAATAAAGTTTATTCCCTACGTGCCGCTTGATAACCGTTTAAAAATTAGAAGAACTGCCCCAAACATACAAAAATCTGTTTCCCTGCCCGATCGGGTTGCCCTACGTGCCGCTTACAAACCAATATTATCTAAAAAGAAGGTTTATTCCCTACGTGCCGCTTGATAACCGTTCAAAAATAACAAGAACTGCCCCAAACATACAAAAATCTGTTTCCCTGCCCGATCGGGTTGCCCTACATGCCGCTTGAAGACCGAAAAAATTACAAGAACTGCCCCAAACATCAAAAAAATCTGTTTCCCTGCCCGATCGGGTTGCCCTACGTGCCGCTTACAGACCGATAGTAACTATTTAAAAATAAAGTTTATTCCCAACGTGCCGCTTGATAACCGTTTAAAAATTAGAAGAACTGCCCCAAACATACAAAAATCTGTTTCCCTGCCCGATCGGGTTGCCCTACGTGCCGCTTACAGACCGATAGTAACTATTCAAAAAAAGTTTATTCCCTACGTGCCGCTTGAAGACCGTTTAAAAATTACAAGAACTGCCCCAAACATACAAAAATCTGTTTCCCTGCCCGATCGGGTTGCCCTACGTGCCGCTTACAGACCGATAGTAACTATTTAAAAATAAAGTTTATTCCCTACGTGCCGCTTGATAACCGTTCAAAAATTACAAGAACTGCCCCAAACATTAAAAAAATCTGTTTCCCTGCCCGATCGGGTTGCCCTACGTGCCGCTTACAAACCAATATTATCTATCTAAAAGACAGTTCATGCCCTACGTGCCGCTTGAAGACCGTTTAAAAATTATAAGAACAGCCCCAACATGCAAAAATCTGTTTCTCTGCTCGATCGGGTTTCAACAGACTTTTGTATACCAAAACGGTGACAAGTTTTCCTCTCTTGCACAGCAAACCTGCAGAGAATACAGGGCCTAAATATCACTCATCTCAGATTTCAGTAAAATAAAAACAAATTTCTTCACTCATCTTTCGTTTGTTTTGTTAGTTCTTTTAGACGTTCCGTTACATCTGCTCATTTGTATCTGCTATTTGTACCTACAGGCAGATGTCATATTTGGAGTAAAATCTCTCTCACTGAGTGTTTTCAAGATACTAAACACCTCACACAGAAGAGTCGAATTTGTAATGAACTCAATTTTAGCTCCGATGTTATCGGGAATACGCTTGGCAAATTTCTACCTCAAAATTCCCCTCTCCATAGAAAATAAATTTTCGGCGATAACAATCTTATTAGAAGCAATTGTCAAAGAACATAGAAGCACAAGAGAATGATGATCCAACTGCGAAAGCACTTCCGGTCAGATTAGATTCCCCTCTCCTTAGAAACCAAATCATCGGCGATGACAATCTCTAATTAAGATATTCTCGAATGAGAAGAATCCAGAACAACAGTTACTGGAAGAAATTCTAGAATGAACGTGGAAATTAGAACAGTTCCTAGGATGGTCAAAACTGCAGACATGAAAAATAATGACGATATCGATCGAAAACACGCCCGAAACATGCCGTTATGCATGTGTGTTGTTTCAGTTGCTCATACTTACGAAATTTGGCACCGTTCCAAAGGCTTACGAAAATCTGGCATCGTGCCAACTGACTTACTCACCGCTAATGGCAGCAATCCAATTCCAAAGATCAGTGTATTTCATCATAATTTTTACGTCTGCGCCCTCCTCGTTTGCCATAATCCAACTATCAGAGGACTATTGCGTAATCAACGAATTCGTTATATATTACGTAGTGATACTACTCATTTATTAGTCAGCTGCGAAACTTTACAATTTACAATAACCGATTGCGATTGGAGCGAGCTTTCCGAGGCCGATCATAACGCTGTGAACCCTATTTGGGGCTGTATCGAAGCGGTGCCTTGGTGGTTTTGGAAGCGGATTTGAACATATAGTAATACTCTCGGCCTAGTCCACATTTATGTAAAGAAATCCGGGCGATTATGTGAAGAGAAGCAGGGGGTGGCGCGGGAGCCACCTAATTTCGAAAAACACTTACCATTTTTTAAATTCACATAAGTTTCTCATAATTCTTCATACTTTTTTGTGCTCATGGTCCTCCAACTACACAGCAAATTTGGTGCCATATCATTACTTGTACATTGAAAACGAGCCTATTTTGCTATTTTCCTCTTACAAGAATTGCGATTTGAATTCCCGCCTGCGGGCATGCTAGCATCACAGGAATGCCTAAGTACAGTCGAGTAGATTTAGCGGTAAATATAGTGTGCTTGCACAAAAGGTGAAATGCGGTGAAATTGGCGCATGAAGAAATAGTTTCGACTGTGACGTCGGCCAATTGCTCGCGCAAGATACCCGCGGTACTGACGTGGCTACTTGTTCACGCGCAAATTTCACCGCATTTCACCCTCTGTGCAGGCACACTATATTTACCGCCAAATCTACTCGACTGTACATGCTAAATTCACTTTGTACTTCTATCTTTCACTGTCATCATGACTTATAATAAGCGGCTTAATCTGAAGTTGTGTGGAGTTTGTCCGTTACGAAATTGCAGTGAGGAATGATTTACGATACTACATCACGTGAGGTTAAGATAGCGAGTATGGTTCATTTTTAACTACGGCTCACATTGCAATAAACCGAACAATGATTTGAGAGACAAGCTCTCAGAAAGTGAGTTTACTACGGTTCACGATGCCAGTGCGAACCTCTGCGAAGCAGAGGTGAAGCACTTGTAGTAGTATAATCAACGAATAAGCTTCTAACACTAGTTTTTATAATACATCTCTAGCATTTTTGTGCAGCATCCAATCTTACAGCGTGAGTTTATCATGTGTGCAATTGTGCCGTGTAAGTTCTGCTTTGGCGCAGTTCGTTTTATACCGGGCTTGTGCTACTCTTTTAGGGGTCAATGCGTGTTATCATAAAGTGGTTCTTCTGTTTTGGCACTTGTCAGAGTGGAATGCGCAACCATTATTCCTCGTCGCATTCATTTGTCACCAAAGCGAGAATTCTTGTTCTCGCGAACTCAGTGTTTCATGTACTTCGAATTTGAACATAAAACGAAGTCGAAACTAAATACTATAACAACTCTAATACTGAATACTACAATACTCGTTGATCGTTTCTCATAAAACTATTAGATGCGAGTAAATGTTTGTATGAAGTGTCAGGGTAGAGTTAACCTTGCTCTAAGCTAGGGTTAAATTAACCCTGATGAATTACTTAAGTTTTACCCTCCAGGGTTAGTTTAACCCTCAGGATTTATTGATGAATACGGGTTACTTTCGGGGTAAGGTTTACCCTCAAGGGTAGATTTAACCCTCAGGGTTAAGCCTACCTTGTGTTTCATGAATACGGGTTAATTGCTTTACAGGGTTAAACTAACCCTCCAGGGTTAGTTTAACCCTCAGGGTTCGTTGATGAATACGGCCACAGGTCTGTTAGCCAAGGTCAAGCGCTCAATTTTCCCATTTCAAACTTGAAGGCAGTGTCCCACCAAATTGTGGTCCTGGGATTTTTGCGAATTTGAAGCCTATCCGACTTTGCAAAAGCTTCTACGGGCAAGATTTAAATGGCAGGATTTGGCAAGTTGCAAGCCTTTCCGGCCTTGCATAATCATAACCATACAGGCTCAAATGGCGTAAGAAATTCGTAACTTCGTTGTTCGAAAATCCCGTTGAATCAAAGCGGATGAATGTCCTGCTTTACTTTAGTTTTCTCCGCAAGGTGACACGTCGAGAAGGAGGGTGTCGCTTAAAAAGAGGTTCAAAACGATATTTAAAACAATAGGTCTAGCGTGCGCCGAAATGCGCACGGTACGTTATGAAATCGGTAAAGCTCAGTACACCTCAAATCCCATGGGACACTGTCTCTAGAAGACGAAGCGTTGTCATATTTCATGTAACGATCATCAGCACCTTCTCAGCCTTGGCTAAAATTGTTCCAGTTCTTCAAATTTAAAACGAAAGGCTTTAAATGAAAAAACTGTTTTCGTCGTTTTTCTAAGATAATTTGGTGCAGCGCACAAGTCTAGGTAAGCGAAAATGAATCTGAGTTTTTGTTTGGAAACCGCCTTTGAGTATATTAGCACATTCAGCCGGACGTGGAAATCTACTCTAATCACGTTGAGACCAAGACTTCTATAAATTGTTGATACACTCTAATTTCATGGAGCCACCAATGCTTTTAATAATGCTTTGGTCTCTGTTGGCAGAAAGGAGATTAACGGCATTGTCGTGAATTTGTTGAGTTGTTCTTATATGAGCAACTGATAATCAGTTTGCATTCATTTACCTTTCATAAAAAAAAACTCAGGTGAGTCAAGGATATCTTACCGCGGCATAATCCATTTTGTTGACCGAGCGCCGGCAAGCTTTTTGTACGTCTGTACTTCGGATGATGGCATTTTCGTTGAGTATGCCCAATACTTCACTGTCATCCATTCCTAAAAAAGACAATCATGTGAACTAACTAGGAATATGAGAAAATATGAATAGCTGAGATTAACTGAAATATGTAGATATCGCTCCAGTCAAGATGAAATCTCTCAACCTGGAAAATGTGGAGATTTGGAGAGAGTGGTCAATTTTGCATGTGGTTAATGTGGGAGAGAATGTATCGTGCATCCCCAGAATTGTTCCCATATGATCCACTAGCTGGCTTACCCGGCTCCGCCGTATGTTCCGAATAGAAAATTCCATTTCTTAACCGATCCGGACCAAACTTGGCACACATACACTTCGGGCCCCGGCGGGTGTCACAGCCCACTTTTCGTTATCGACCGATGTCGATTTTATCGACTTTTTGCAAAATTTGAGCTAGAGGGCTGGAATTTGGCAGGGAGGTGTAATCGAGCATGCTGATCACCCCACGGGGGTGATCAGCATGCTCGATTACCCCCCTGTGCCAACTCCCAGCCCCGTAGCTCAAATTTTGCAAAAAATCGATAAAATCGATATCGATCGATGACGAAAAGTAGCCTATGACACCCGCCGGGGCCCGTAGTGTATGTGTGCCAAGTTTGGTCCGGATCGGTTCAGAAATGGAATTTTCTATTCGGAACATACGTACAGACAGACAGACATACAGACAGACAGACAAACAGACATTCAGCTTTATATATAAGATTAATGTGGCTGCCTTTCGATCGTTTTAACGCGTTGACTCTAGCAGGTCTAAAGGCAGCGGCTCAGCAGAATGGCAACCTTGGGATATTTATCGTTCTCGGTTCCCCTGGATGGGCTAAGTCCAAGACTGTGCAACTTTAGAAGACATCAATAACCCGCTTTTAAAGACGCGAAAAGTGCAATTTGGGCTGACGGCGTAAACCTGCCCTCCACAGTGCGATTGGCCTGTGGGTGAAGACACTATAGCCATCTCAGCGGCAATTGGATTATTGGCTCCAGTAGCCATGTTCGCGACCCGCACAGCACTTTTTACGTCCGGAAAAGCTTTTGGAGCTGCAAAGCACAGTTTTGGACTAGCTCATCCAGGAAAACTGATAACGATGTATATCCCAAAGTTGTCATTCTGCCGAGCCGCTGCCTATAAGGCGCTTATTCGAAGTTGACTTATCAAAAGGATCGAGGGACAGCGATGTTGATGGTTCATATGGGAACAGTTCATCATATGTGTCGCGGACACATTTGCGAAATGGATGCTTATGCCTCCTTATTACAAAACTATTTATTCCATTAGTGTTTTCCAAAAGTCTAAGCAAATTCTCATATCTTTTCACTTCTCATCCAGGTGATTAAATTGAGTGATCTTGTATATATTAGGTTGGCACGAAAGTTCTGTCGCACCATTTTCAAAATTCATAACTTCTGATTTTTCCAACCGATTTGACAGTTTTTGTTTCTATATGAAAGAGTAGGTAATGCTCTTTATAACCACATCCTAGCTGCTTACTAATGATCATCTTTTGCATATATAAGAGCGATAGAAGAAAATTAATCAAAATTCGATTCTGTATAGGGTCATAAAAAATCGGAAACTTGCAACAAAAATCGGAGCAGTCGGCATTGTAGGCTTATTCACCAGCTCTCTAACAGTTCAAAATTTGCGCTGATTGAGCGTCTCTACGAAAAGTTATGATTTCCCTGAAAAATGCCAAAATAAAGCAAATTCGCCCTTTTGTATTGCTTGCTCGAAAATCGTACTTTCTCATAGAGACGCTCAATCGACGCAAACTTTGCACTGTTAGAAACAGCTGGTGAAAGAACTTACAATACCGACTATGCCGATTTTTGTTGTAAGTCTCCAATTTTTTATGACCCTATACAGAAAATTCGAATTTTGACTAATTTTCTTCACCGCTCCTATCTATGCAACAGATGATCATTAGTAAGCACCTAAGATGTAATTATAAAGAGCATTACCTACTATTTCATATAAAAATAAAAGCAGCAAAACGGTTGCAAAAATCAGAAGTTATGAATTTTTGAAAATGGTGCGACAGAACTTTCGTGCCAACCTAATATTATATTTTTGTGGTTATTGCTTGATGGCTATCACACTATCTCTTGTGAGGTTAATCCACTAACTCCGCATTCTCAGCAGGACTTCATAAGGACAGGATGGCATAAGATCGGCATCGGGAAAACACTTGCAGTAACAGATGCTTACAATGTTGAGGGGTTAATGTTTAGGGTAATTTCCAGTTGCTAAAAATTTGTTTTTGATGTGGTCATACGTTGTTGATGAAAGCCAAAAACTCGCCTTAGTTGTATAGATCAACCTTTGGAAAGCTTGAGTTACGGGGTAAGGAATTGTTATAGGAAGTGTGAGGGTGCTGATTATGAATGAATCGGCTTCAGCCGATTCATTCAGCAGGTTTTACATATGGTTGCTCTAGTTATTCGATAAATCATTCGAATATTTATTCGAAATTCAACTCTCAACATTTGAATACAATCGATACATTCGATACTTTTAATTTCCCGATTTTATTCTGGACATTCATTCGCAAATTTTTAATTTTCGAATTTATTCGGTATTCGTTTATACGAGGTTTTTATCCTCGAAATCAATTAATATTCGTTTACTCAAAATTTTCCATTCTCGAATTTATTCGATATTCACTCATTCGATGAAAAATTTCGAAGTTCCCTAAGTATACTGCTTTGTATTGACGTGCGGAATGCTTATTTGGGTAGTAGAGGCAGGTACCAAGAATGTTGGTTCTTTTGCCTTCAAGACCACCTTTAGAAGGTGATCGAAGGAGAACAGCAATATATTGAAAGCTGCAAGTATATCTTAAAGAGCAAAACCACCTTCCATGTATACCCACAAGGGAATGGTCAGAAGTCAAAGTGGCCAATCCAGAGAAGCTGCTTACCATTAGTTGCAGCATAAAACGCTGACTTCGAAATTGTATTCTATAATATATCTGTTTAGCGCCTTTGTGGACGAAGTTATGAGCAGTTTTACTGCGAAAAAATCGTACGAATTGAGCACATTTTTGCACTTTCAGCTCACCTTTGGGCTTCAAGAATATAAAGTAACCTAGCTATATGATTTGGCTCAGCAGTAAGGCGAACATGGGGTTAAATTTGCACTTTGCATGCACAATTTCTTATAAAATAATGGCCTTCAACGGCTCATGACTTCGTCCATAAAAGCGCTTGCCTTAAATCAACCGCAAAAAAGTGAGCACGAAAAGAGAAAAGATTAATCGCTACAGAACAAGAAAATTCGTTGGGATATTTTTTGAGTGACTGAGGACAAGAACTAACTCTGCTCAAAGCCTTTGTCTCTACCGAATCGAACTAGGCACTCATCCTTTTTAAAACTTATAGAATAATTAGCTATCACAAAAATGCAATGTATCGCTATTTCATTTCCACAAGCATTTGCACTCGATTTTCGAAGCATTCTTTTCATTACACTGCTCTCACTGTAGCATCATGACTTATAACAACGGGCTAAGGCTGTTTACGTGTTTTTGTGTATGTGTGTGTGTCTGTCTGTAACGAAATTCACAGAACGAGTCACAGACAAGTTTCAAGCCTTAATTTTTTGCACAAAACGCACTGCCACCATCCAGATTCACCATGCCAAAGCACGACTAGATCCATTGAGTAGGTCCCTCAAAAATCGCACCGCAAACGGACCCGCTTAACGTCTGACGCGCAATATTGGGTCCGTATTAAAACTTATTGCAAAGTCGTGATTATGTTTGGCAAGTGAATGTGCAAGCCATGATCTTTAGCCAGAAAAATGTGATGGAAGTCTATTACCCCACGAAAAAGGCGCCAAAACGAATTATTTGAGTAAATGGTCAATTTGCCAGGTTTTACTTGAGAATTTGAGCAGATTTTTGCACAGGGATGTAGCTCGCCGTGGATTCTATACTTATGGCGACTAGCAAGCCATGAAAAAATTCAAAAAGTGTTCTAATTCTGCATATGTTCTTCATCCTCCAAAGTTTCATCCACACAAAATACCGATCTCATACGAAAAAGCTTACGGAATGAGTGTTTGTTTACGTTTCATTCGTGAAGGATGCATTTTGCAGTTTGTTTCAACGTCATGTTACGAGGGAATGAGTATGGCATATCTAATTTATAAAGAATCGTTAACTCAATCCAAAAATCTGCAAATAGCGGGAAAGCGCGGTGTGGTCCCGAAGCGCGCGGATGCACTCTAGCACCTTTAATTACTTGTTCACTAGTAGTAGATATTAGGGCCAGTTGGAGCCTCTGCGAAGCAGAGATGACGCACTGGTATTATTATAATGCTATAAGCATTCACTTACCGTGAGCTAAGTATTCTCTTGAATATCTCCGCTCACAAGAGTTTTCGTAGTCAAGTAACGTTTCCAAACAGTTTGCATAAACGGCGCAGCGTTTCTTGCTGGTCTGAAATTCAAATGTTTATGCTTGAACAGGTGAAGTTCGCTTTTGCTAAACCTGCTTTGCTGACTTGACTGCCAAGTTTCTCGGGGTAGCAGGTATTTCCCTGATACTTTCGCGCTTTCCCTGCAATTTTTAATCTGCGTGTGTCCAGGGTGAAATTGTATCAAACATACAGAATGTGCGCCTTCAATGTGCGCATTGTCTCCACTTGATTCCAAATCAGTTTGTTCACCCGTTGTCTAGAAACAAGATTACGAGTTTTTTCAAAGACTAGCTTTTTTGACTATGCGTGAAAAAGAAAATAATCCTCTCCAGCGCTTAGCAAGTTATCAAGGTGAACTTTGTTCTAGACAACTTTTAAAGATGACTTTACACACGCACCGTGTACATGCATGTGAGTAATCTATGCCAGTTGTCTTATACTCACTACATATCTGACTTCGAAAGGAAGCGTGTTGATGCAATCCGGGCCCTCTTTTACGATCCCCTCCCTCCGCCCATCAGCCCCGCATTTCCATGCTTTGCGTTAACCTGCATTAACCAATATCAGATCAGCTCAAAGAATGCCAGTAGACCTTATCCAAAAATCATACTTTGGAGGAAGGGAAACGTGCTTACAAATTGGGAGATAGCACAAGGATATTGGATAGCTCGAGAACTTTCCAAAATTCTGTATAAATTGGGTAAGTAGAAGAAGTCTGAAGATTTGGTGTGCTGTATTGTGGTCACGAAAGATGGATGAGAGGATATAAATTAACGAAGGAGGTCATCAAATTTAGTCTGATACTGACATCAAATTGTAACTTGTCTGGACCTTGGATTATAAACAAAAAGTGTGTAAATATTTCAGCGGCAAGTAAGAATTTTCTTTAGAAACAAAAAGTGATTCTTACATAAGAGCTCTCGGATTGTTTGGTTTGTTTTCTGAGCCGGTATAGGGCCGTCAGTGGCTGAACTCCTCTCTTCAGAAGTGCTACCGTAATCTTTCAGTGATGAAGAACCATCCGTGGCTCGCTCTATACTGTGAATCTAAGTGGAAGCCAGCCTTACAATATGGCGAGGACAACGGGAATCAATAGACTGCAGGTAGTACACTATGGCCAAGACAACAGGTAAATCTTAAAAACCACTGATTCATTGGATGATCTATGTATCATCAACCTCAAAAACTCTAAATATATAGCTTACGGTTATTACCACAGGCTAAATTCCAAAGCGCTTATGGTGAGTGCCGAAACACTCACCAATAAGTGGCACCCTTCTTCCAGGACCGTTCAAGGCATCCCTTTTCAGTTATGTACGTATTCCTACAGTTTGATTTTGCATAAGTCAGCTCCGTCTTACTACCTTTATAGAACTTTATAAGAGGTTGCTTTTTCTGGTTGATAACTGGGTTTGGATTTCTGGGCACTGCTTGCGATGTCATGATAAGGCTTGCGGTAGTGTACAGCGACACACAATGGTAGCGTGTTGAATAAAGTTTAATCGACTGTACATCAAAAGCATTATCTTCAAAACTTCGAAATGGAGTTTAGCAGTTTACAGAGAACCTATCGTAATGAAGGTCTTGAATACTCTTTTCATCGTGCTGATACCTCACCGCCACCTTGGGTCGCGCTGAGATAGGCGGCCAGGGTATGTTCCTCCCAACCCTCGCTCATCTCATTGAGCTAAGGGATAGTCGCGCTTGTACTTGCTCTCGCTGTATCTGCCTTCCACGATAAAATTAAAATTACCATTGTCCTACCATTTTGTGACTGGCCAAAGTCTAGGAGTTTTCTCACCGCCATCATAACGCTCCTAAAGTATGGGCAAGAAGATTGATAGCGCTGAACTTTTAAAGCAGCCAAGAACGAAGGCAAAACATGAGATTGGAAGCGATATTTACAGGGAAGAGCAAGATGTGTGTGCGGCCTTTAGTCCTGTCTCAATATACCCTACTCACCACCCTAGCCTTACTGTCTACCTAATGTAGGCACATAGAACCCCACTCCGCATGACTAGCAACAAGCTCGCAATTAGCATGTTAAACAATCCTGTGGACCAAGCTTTAGAATTCCGAGGATACTATATTATGCAATTTTCTTTGAGCCGTAACATGTTTTTAGAGGAACACTTTAATTACTGCCAAACGTTCCGGCTGAATGCCGTTTTCAGGGGCGTGAAAGCGAGTCAATTACTCATAAACCAAACGATTTAGACCACCAGACACTTCCTCCAAACGGCACAATTGACTCATCTATTGTGACGCAGATAAGTTCTCAAGTTGAACAGCTTACCAAGTGTTCCTGGTGAGGAGCGTAAGTGTGCTAGCTCTCTCTCTCACAGTCGCCCACAGCAAATGATGACAGATGAGCGGTTCGAATAAGTACGACACGCTTGAATAGTGTCGGCTACCCATCTTATATATAAAGCTAAATGTCTGTATGTCTGTGTGTCTGTCTGTCTATATGTATGTATGTACGTATGTTCCGAATAGAAATTTTTATTTTTGAACCGATCCGGACCAAACTTGGCACACATACACATCGGGCCTCGGGGGGTGTCATAGGCTACTTTTCGTCATCGAATATCGATTTTTCGATTTTTATCGATTTTTTTGCGGAGTTCACCTAAGGGCTGGGAGTTGGCGCAGGGGGGGTAAGTGAGCATGGGGATTCCGAATACAATATTAGTTTCCAGCATTATCGATTATTTTTTATCGATTTTATCGATTTTTTTGTAAAGTTTGATCTATGGGGCTGGGAGTCGGCACAGAAGGGTAATCGAGCATGCTGATTACGAATACAATTTTAGTTTTTAGAATCGTTCGTTACTTTTATCAACTTTATGGATTTTTTTGCAAAGTTTGAGCTACAGGGCTGGGAATTGGCACAGGGGGGTAAGTGAGCATGCTGATTACTAACACAGGGGAATAGGGAATTGCATGTAGAAGTGGGCACAGGGAAAGGTTGTACAGGAAAGGGAATGGAACCTTATCAAAGTGTTTTGACAGGGCCGAGCGGAGCCGGGTAAGCCAGCTAATAGCTAATATAGCTCATTGATTCTATATTATATTCGGTCACTCGGCCAAGTGCAGTGGTCTTTTTCAAACATGATTAACTTCATTTCAGAAATGGGTTTGTCAAATCTTTTTGTACTCAACACATAGCACTACTATTTATCTGCCCAAATCAGGGATTCTATTCCAGGTAACTTTAGAACTCTGGAATCAAAAGCCAAAAGAAAAAATCTAATTTGTGCTATTTCTTGCTTTAAGTGATTGTTCTTTCAGCAATCATTACTTAGATCAAAAAAGACGAATCACTCAACTAACTTCTGTGAGAACTAGGAGATTTGGGCTATCGAACTATGTATTCATTATTCGCTAGTTGTCTTTCTACAGGTAAGTTAATGGGGTGTCCGCAATCTTAATAAAAAGCGTGGCTGCCACATTATGGGTTTTGCCGCTTCTCATTAACTTACCTTCAGGGCATTCGAACATCTATGTAGTTTATATCGTTGAAACAGCAAAACTTTTAAATGCATCAGAAGTTTTTTTTTTCAGAATCTTCTGATCTTTCTCCTAGAAGAAGATATAGCTGGTTTTCTTAACCTATAATGAAGATATTGGGTTACGATAATATGCTAACTCTGCGCCGCTACGTAGATTACGTGGAAAGGCGGCGAAAGTATATATAGTCAATGGTCTAGTAGTGCTCGTAATTTCTAAGAAAGTGGTTTGGTCTTATTTGATTCAAACAATAGCCACTGAAAGCAAAACCATTGAAAGCAAAAAATGTTCAAGTAGAATAGAGTGGCCTTTGATGCTATAGTTTGGCGGTCATTGAAAGTGGAATTCCTATTGTGGGCAAAGAAGAAGTAGTGCTTTGTGTTAAAGCAGCGTAAGGTAACTATTTCACTTTTGAAGCAAAGTTGATCATGTTTAAGAAAGAGCGCAGATTAAGGTAGCTATTCCATCTTTGGAGTCATGTCAATTCATACTCTTTGGATTCATAACGTTTGAAACGTGAACAAAATTCAAAAAAAGTTGACCATAAATAGAGAAAATTGTGGCGAGAACGTTTCTTACTGCTTTGACGAGGTTGCTCTGGTTAGAACATGCTTTTGTCGTCTTTTAGCCTACTTATTTTAGAAGTCCCCATCTTCTTGACTTTCAATAATTTCACGTCCTTGCTACATAGCGAAGCATACACAGAATAGCCCATTTGACGAAAGTGCAAAAGAAAAGAACTTTAGCTTTTTACTATGTTGATCTCCATTTATATGAATGCGATAATATAGGTAGAATGCTTGTAGGAAGAGAAAAAAAAAGAGACTGGGAGAGGAAAGGAAAGAGAACAAGTAGAAAAAAGCTGGTAATTCTGCGATCGCGGGAGTAGTCCATGATGATTTATTCCGAACCTTGCATAAAGTGAACCCGCAGAATATGCTTCAGAGCGGAAAGGATTGCGCATTATACTCGGGCAAATAGCATTTCACATAGACAGTCTTAGTACCACTTATCTCAGATAATTTCTAACAACAGTCCAAATTCTATGTCGTATGCTTGTCGCGCTGTAAACAAGCCATTTGTTTATTTTAGCCTTGCACTCAACATTTTCAGAAATTCTTGCGTTTCGTGAAACAACACTGTGGAACATGCCAGTTCTGCAGAGCATTCCTTTCTGAAGCATGAGTAAGGGCCGGAACGAGGGTGGCAAATGTCAAGCTGGAGATTGGTTTAGACCTCGGGCAGAGTTCACGCGATCTCATCGTCTCTATTCATCGCGACAAGACAACTGTAACAATATCAATGCATGCGGATATTCTTGCATTTCGGTTGTGATAGTGATATTTTTCCAGCACGACTAACCGTGACTCATTATCACAATCGAATTACAAAAAATTTGGCATGCAATGATATTGTTACAGTTGTCTTGTCGCGATGAATCGCAACGATGAAATCGCATGAACTCTGCCCAAGGCCTCCGGGGGAAAAAGCCAAGGAGATATAGCAAATACCCATTCACATGTACATACATTCTCTCGACAAGTTGTTTCAAGGTGGCATGCAGAACACCGTCTTGCTCGTGCGCCATTTTCGAAATCCTAGCCATTTACCGTTAAGCAGTAATAAATTGCTTCGGTGACAGCGCACATATAACGATATGACTACGATTGGAGTATAAACGAATAAACTAGGGGGAACAAAGCGCAGAGTAATGCGGACTAATTACGCGACTGAACATTGTGGCAAGTTTTTTCTGGAAGTTTCCCATTACCAAGAATTGACTCATTTGCAAGCTAGACGACAATACGGCACGGAATCTTATGTGTATATAGTCTATCTGCCCAATCCCAATTAGGCCAAAATTGACATGGTGGGAGTCCGCTAGGTTTTCGCGGTCACACCCACGGCCTGCTTCTCTGCTCTCTCCTCAGTCCTTCTGCTCTCTCCGACAGCGCGCATATGCAGCGCAGATCGCTGGCGCTCCGAGAGCGCATACGCCGACGGTTCGGCCTGATCCCGAATAGAGCAGACTGTGAGATCAAGGAACAGAATATGAAAATTTATGGAAAACTTTTGTGAATGAAGAGCGTGCACAACTTCTCTTCAAATCAGATAAGCAACTGCCCGCCTAACGACACATTGAGGGTGGCAACATTTGATTCAAATTTTTTTTGAAACTCTTACATAAACCTGTTGTTCCCCAAAATTTCCATGTAGTAACACTTTAGTTTCAACATCCTCCTCTCACCGTGTTAGGGTGTGAAATAGCCTACGCGGTCTTTTTGAGGAGAAAGCGCGCTTCAATTAAACAACTCACGCAACTGGCACGACTAAGTGGAAATCGTAAAATCGATAAAGGCAAAGCCGAATTCGTTTCACAGGAGCCCGTATGCCGCAGTTGTGCCGGGCTCTAAGCATAGTGCTCGTCTGAGTGAACGCTTGTATGCTTGCACAACAGAACAGGACATTCCTTTGCTCTTGTCTCCAAAAAAAGTTTATGTTTCTATGACTTCTACGCTCGTGCTTAACTGTGGCTAGGCCAATGAATATGGAAGCTTTTGTCCGCCGAATAAAGTGGGGCAGAGTTATATCAAAAAGACAAGACAGTTGTAAGTGATTTCACTTTGGATCATATTACTGTTGAAGATCGAACATGAACCTACATGAATATGTTGTGATATGTCAGTCACTGCGTTCGAAGAACATGCTCCTAAACAAGAAATTTTGTAAAAAGTTAGTACTTTGAGAAAATTACCAATGTTACGTTCCGAAATCCGGTCATAGTATATATGGGGATCTTCTACCTGTAATTGAATTTTTGAGAAATGGATATGTTCAGAACTGTCACAGAATTACCGAAACTTTTACTTTACTATCGTCTACAACTGAGATAGGTGCTGCATGACCAATCTCTGTGTCAAAACTGCTTGACTCTGTACTGCTCTGCCCTGGTAAAGACTAAAGGCAAAAACATGATTTTTGATTGCAGAAAAACGAATATTTCACCTGAGCTCTGCATCTAGCTTTCACCTCGGAAGCCAGTTCGGAGGTCAGTTCGGAGGGCGAAGGCTTATAATGGTTGGCAATTGTTGTTTCGCTACGTGGACTCATGCTCTAAATGCTGACTGTCGAAATTGTGAGTTAGGCTTGTGTGTAGGGCCTTTCGAAGCAAAGAAAAAAATTTGGACTGCATTTACAGTGGCAATGCAAACATTGGAAGGCATCAACAGACCGTTTCGTGCTTAGGATGATCAATTGAAAGGCATCGTCCACCCTAAGTTGAGGGTCTTGGGCTTTTGACAGCATGTGATATTAGGGTCCCCTATTATGCCAATGACCGGGTCGCAGCGCGAAATGTCGCTTCGAAAGCGAGAAAATCGCTCCAGAATAACGAAGATGCACGATGGTTCCCAGACAGCACCGCTTTCCCCACCCATGCCCGCCCATCCGTGCGCGCCCAGCCAATCACTGTTCCGGAAACACGGCCTGCTGATTCTCCGGAACGGGGATTGTTGGGGTTTTCGCGGATTCTCGACTTCATATTCGGAATTAGGGAAATGAGAAAGGCCCCGTAACATCAAAACATGGAAGACGAGAATCGGAGTGGACGTTGCCTACAAGTATCGAAAAGCTTAGACGTGGTAGAAGGGAAGCGACAAGGTAACAAAAATCAACAACAAAAATCATCTGAAAACTGCGTACGCTTGCAACACCCGCCATAGTCACGATCTTGAACTCGCAAGCAAAAAGGATTCTTTTTACCTTCTCGAGGTGTGAAAAGGAGCCTCTGTTTGCAACTTTTCACTCTCAAACTTTTGATTCAAAATTGTATTGTCGAACATTAGTTTTCGTTGTTATGCAGGTAGTCTGCGACCGTGGCAGTGTAGGTATGATAAAATAAGAAACTATCTTTCCTTAGAAGCAAGCTTTACAAGATGGCATTTGAACGCCGGCAAAAAGTTCTATCCAAGTGAAATCTAGAAGCAAAATCTACAAGCTTACAAATACTCATAGAATCTCCATCCAAAAGAACCCGCAACCTTTAGCTTGTCACGCATGCACTGTCCCATGTAATAACGTATGTAGAGTTGCCGTATTTTGGTAGGTAAAGATAAATCAAGGAGAGATTAAGAATAGAAAAATGTCACGTTGTTGTTCTTTCATGGTAACCTGACCTTTCCACTAAATTAGGATCTATAAGGCAGAAATCGTGATTATTTCTGGTTGTTACATAAGTCTTGTTACACTAGCAGAAAACTTTTCAGCTCTAGTTTCTCTAGTTATTCACATATTCAATAAACAACATAAGGAAATTGTGATCAATATGCTCACCAACGAATTGGGAGATCTTCGATCTTCGATATCTTTGCTATAAAAACGCTCTCTCTTCTCGTCGAAGGAATTTTGAGGGCCGTATTCAAGGGTCGTCATAATTCTCGAACGCGTCTCCGTCGAGGAAAGGTTGAAGAGACCCGCACAAGTAATAGTTTACTGGGGCCATGTCTGATGAACATGGCGGATGAGGCAGAACCGTGCAGCCAAATTCCTGGAGCTTTGACTGGCAATGGTAGTTTATTAGCAACTCATTGCACGCACAGAATGGTCGCCGTTACGTTCGTATAAGATAGTTCGTGCAGACGGTCGGGCAGAAGGCAGCAAAGGCCTGCCGCTCCTGCTTATGGATATACCTGAGGAGCTCCATAGCTCCTCGCGCTTCTTATTACTTCTTCGCACCTTTAAGTATCTTTGATATGACCTATACCCAATTATTCGTAAACTTTTTGAGTGTATAGATTGCGAGATATAGCTTCAACGTTTCATATTCAAAGCGAATGAAATAGTAAGTATCAAAAAAAAGTTTATAGAATTAACCTAACTCAACATCGAAGACGGTATAAAAATCACAATTTTGAGTAGATATGGAAGTATAATTTGATCTAATAGATCTTCAAGCCGGAATGTTGAGCATAATCTTGTATCTTTTTCATCATGATAATTCCAATCGAAAACAAGGAGTTCAAAGACTGATGCAACGTTCTTTGTTTTGCGGCATCTTATCCTTTTCTACTCCATGAACTACGAAGGAAACTGCTCTGAACCCAATATTCTCTAAACTGAAACCGATTATAGCCGAGATTGAAAGAAATTGCAAGATTTTTAACTTGATCTGAAGTAAACTGCTCTTCAAGAAGCTTTTTGTTTGATTCTTTTGCTTGTAAAGTAATCAAAGGTGCGAAGAATGATTAGAGGCGCGAGAAAGTCTGGAACTCCCCAGGCACTTCCAGAAGCAAATGCGGCCAGCCTTTGCTGCCTCCTGTCTGACGTCCGTTCGTGCATGGGAGAGACAGCACATGCAAGGGGATGAAAGAGCGCTCAATAGCGAGGGGACGACAGAATCCGTAACAACAGCCCTCCCACTTGTCATTGCCCGTCAGCATATTCTTGAGTCACGCTTTCGTCCGCTCTAGAGAAAGCAGGAAAGGCACGTCGCACATCGGATTCGAATCTGCGTCGAAGGCTCTTGTGGTGTCTATGTCGACATCTTCCTCACCAATCTGAAATCGTGCAAATAGCGGACCACCTTCCCATGAGTACCCAAACTTTTTGCCAAGCCGCTCGTCTGCCGGGGATCAACTTTAACAGCAGTCTTCAGCAGGGCTGAACTGGATGAATGTGGACGTTCCGAGCGGTGTCCACTCAGCTTAGTTTTCTTTACTTCGAAGCGCTTGTACCACCGAGCCACCGTCTTTGAAAGACTGCCCAGCTAATCGTAAGGTCCAATACGCAGCAGTTGTGGACGTACTCAGACAGCGGATAGGACCCCTCCGCCGAAGAAATGGCAGGGTCGCGGCGTTTCCCCAGCGGTGGGTCTGCCACTAGTCCGCCGGAGCCCTCCCATTCTCTGCTCCGAAGACCTCCCATTTCTGCTCCGGATACCTCCCATTTTCCGTTCCGGGTACCTCCCATTTTCTGCTCCGGAGACCTCCCATTTGTGCTCCGGACCCCTCCCATTTTCTGCGGCGCGGCTCTTCCAAATCTGGCGGACTCGCGCCGGGCAAATTCCTCCGGCGCGAATGGCGTACCTTTGCAGCAGGGCCGGAGAAGCGTCCCATTTGCCTGCCAGTGATGTCACCGCGACGGACCGCCCATTTGCCCCGCTCTCATTGGTCAACTGGGTCCGGCGCGACTCTGGCAGATTCGGACTGTCCGGCGGAGGGGTCCGGTCGATTGTCTGAGTAGCAGCACGTGAAATCAAGATATTATCGTAGAAGTCAATTTCTTGCAGATATTGAGTCAAGATTTCTATAGAAGTGACTTTTGCTTCTCTATATACCCCAAGTATGAGATTACGACTTGTTTCCACTTGTTTTTGCAAGAGAACGAGATAGCGTAACAAGACTTATTTGAACCTAACACTTGCAAAGATCTGTAGTACAGAATCACTTATTTGGGAACAGTCAGAATTTTTTTTGGCAGGAACATGTCTCTTCTTCTCGACTAGCCATCGAACTAATACAGGATTACATATGAATGTTGATGTAATGCTTGGTCACATGTAAATTCTTTCGCAGGGAGGAGTGATTTTTCAATAGTAGGAGTCCAGTCTTTTATTTCTAAAGTTCACGTAGATCGAACTTTCTGCAATTTGCAAATATCGTCGTTTCCCCGAGATAGATGGCGCGTGTCGCTGCACAAGTCCGCAAGTGTACGCAGTTGATACGGTATTAGCCGCGGCGCATAATCGATAGAGCCGAATAGCTGATGATTTTTCGACGCTGCAGCGATCGGTGGTTTTTAATGCTGAATCATGCTTTTATTTTCAGATTCTATGAATGTTGCTAGAGGTGAGCCGTGATTGTTCATTTAAACTTTTTCACATTATTTTCTCAGTTTTGGCGCATTGCTGGTGCGTATATTGCACTCTGCGTGCATAATGCGTGCTTTCACTTCTTTTTTTTACTGTTTGTTGTGTTTAGTAAATTTCCTTTTGATAATTCATCGTTTATCACTTCATTATGCTTACCTGTGTTTCCTGTTCATGTTGTTTTGTTCAGGTTCCAGGTTTGTGATCGGCCTCCGATCACAAACCTGGAACTTGAACAAAACATCATGAACGGGAAACATAGGTAAGCATAACGCTATCAGATTCAACGAAATAGTAAGAGAAAATCTGCTAAAAACGACACATAAGTAAAAAAAGAAGTGAAAGCCACAGAGTGCAACATCCGCACCAACAATGCGCCAAAACTATGAATATACAATGGGCGCCATCTAAATCTACTTAACCGGCTGCGCGGGCGGTCGCGCGCGTGCTCTCACTGCGTGCCGGGACCTGCCGGTCGGCCCCTCATTGCTTGCTCGTATCAAAATCGCTGGCGCTACTGACTTGAGTTCATACGCGTGATGCTTGAGCTTTGTTTCCTGTAAGGAGAATGTTTGAGGATTCATTCACAGCAAGATGTAGGATTACATTCTATCTATAGCCCGAGCTGAACTGTTGACGTTTTTCGAACTCATATTGCCACAGGAAGCCGTCGTATTAGAAGTTCTCACACATGTGAACAAGTATTCGAAGTTGCCGACGGTTCCAGTTGATAGCGCTTGCATCTCGACGTTCTTGGTTAAAGAAGAATATAATTTCGGTAAATACTTGTTGAATGAATACTTTTGTCCATTTTATGCTACTCTTTTGATTCAATCTCCAATTTAGTACTGCTAAATCTAGCAAAGTTTCGACTGGGAGATGAAGTTGTTAAGATGCTGAGCAAGTTTTCGGTATCCATACCTGAATCCTATTTTGTTTGTTTCGACGAGGGTAATGATTATGGAAAGGAAAAATCTTCTTGCTTCGAGACTAGAAAGTCCGAGTACGCCAAACATTTGGGGGGCGCTCGTTACGTGCGGTCTGCCAAATGGAAAACGTCGCAACGTGGCGTTAAAGTAACCGCGCGCGAGAAGCAGTAGTGCAGAAAACTTGTCAGATTTATACCACTACATTACCAATGCTTCTCCTATATTGTTAGTATTTTACCTTCTTCAATTTGTGTCTTTCTTATCCTTCAAAGTGCTCATTTTACAACTTCTACGGCAAAACTTCAAATAACTAAGCAAAACTAATATGAGAATAGTCTGTGGACCTCAACAAAGGATGAGAAATTGAAATACTATGTGCTGCGGATCATGCTTGCTGAATTTCCCGAGTCTGGTCACTGGCAGCCTGTCGCGCGCGACGTTTTCCAATTTGAAGCCCGCACGTAACGATACGCCCCCCAAACATTTCGCAGAGTTGCGTTTGTTCCAAATAATGAATTCTCCAAGATGAGGTAACGCAGTATCTTGCTAAACAACTCGTGGAAAGCGTGCTTGTCTTTACAATTCATAATAGGTATCCTGTATCCTTACGAAGGTCCAGGTATACTACTTATTAAGACCAAGGACTTGGAAATGAGAGTGGATACGGCAGGACGCCAAGAATTCCCTGTTTAATTCCCTGTTTTTCAGCTTTGTAAAAGAGCATTTCTTGCCAGAACCTACTTTTTTCCATAACATGCAAGAAAGATTTTGTCAAACATTGAGTCATTCCGCAGCACATAGTCTGATTCAGGAGTATCAGGGAGATCCACTAACAAAATAAAGGTCATTTTTTAAGAAATAAGAAATAACACTGACTTTGGCGACCACTCATACATTGCGGTGTTGATCCTATTGTAGTGAGGATATTAAGTTTGCGAGAAAGCGAATTCTTTTGTTAGTACTAGATTACCTTGCAGTCTGACGAATTTCTAGTTGTGAAAGCTACTCGTCTCATCAATAGTAAAGTTTTTCGGCACACGAAACTCCTAGCTGAAGCAAAAATATCGCCTAGATACGTCAAAAAATGTATGAACATCACAGTGCCAGCTGAGCAAGCAATTGACATCGCGCTGTAGGTCCCGGCCCGCAATGAGTGCACGCGCGCGACCGCCCGCGCAGCCGGTTAAGTAGATTTGGATGGCGCCTACAGTCTGCCCCAAACCCAACCAGGCCAAAAATAGCATGGCGGAACCCGTGTCGCGAGGGTATCGCGTCGCGTAAACGGCTAGCTAGTCTGCTCTCTCCTCAATCTCTTCGCTCTCTGCGACAGCGCGCGTATGCAGCGCAGACCCCTAGCGTTGCGAGCGCGCAAATCCAGACGGCGGTTCGGCCTGATCCCGATTGGGGCAGACTGTATACAATGAAACAAGCGTAAATGAACGACAAAGACTCACCTTTAGCAACTTACAGCGAAACCTGAAAAAAAAGCATGATTATGCAAAGAAAACCCACCTATCGCTGCAGTGCCGGGAAATCATCAGCTGTTCGGCTCTATCGATTATGCGCCGCGACTAATACCGTATGAACTACGAACTCTTGCGGACTTGTGCAGCGACACGCCCCAGCTATCTCGGGGAAAGGACGATATTATCTTGCAGGGATTGCCTTGATCTATCGATAATTTTTCTAATGTGTACCTTGCCGCGGCAGTGCAAAAGGTGCGCATCGATTATAGGCTCTCTTAACATGAGAAATACAAACTATGTAACGACGACAGCAGGCACTGCAACAGACCATGACGCGCGGGCTGGCCTCCTAACAATATTATACTTACAAGCAAAAGCGGTAGCACTCGTATATTAACGAAAAAAGAGAAACAGGCAGGCGAGGCAGTGTAACTCTCAACCGATTTGTGACCAAAGGCTATCTCGCGCGCTTGCAATTGCAATGCGGGGACTGTCGCTGTATTTAAGCTTGTATATGTTTGTATCTCTTTTTTTCTTTTCAGCGCTTCTGGCTTTCTCGCTCAAATGTACAAACCGTGTATGGGTCAATTCAATAGTGAGGAAGGTGAGGTGGCTTTAGGATATTGAGCCTCACTTACGGCTTTGTTACGAGCAGTTAACCAAGGAATATAACCTAGTCGGTCCTGTTTCTTGCCTCTTCCTAAATTTGTCTTTTTTTATTTCTTCATTTTGCTCCATCGTAAACTAAACTGAAGCCTCAGTTGAGCTTCCTTTGAGTGAAATGACCACCGCCGACCCTCCTATGCTCTAAGCCAAGTGAACTGACAGTTGGCCATCCGTCCACCTGCTGCAGTCATTTGATCCATTCCCATCAGTTCACGATCAGTTGAGACGTGAACTGGTGCAAATAGTGTGGAAAAGTGGAGAGCAGAGAGCATTACCGTAAGTTGCTCCTCAGTAACTTACGATACACATCAGGGGCGGTATGTGTCAATCGCCAATCGCGTCCGGGTAAGTTACCCGGACGCGTAGTTTCCGCTTCATAGCTCGGTGCTCTGGGGATCTGTGGATCTGGGATCCTTCCTTGTCGCTCATATTTTGGAGGCTCTACTACATGCAGCACAATGAATTGCAGCACTTTGCTGTATAAGCTGAGATAATTCTATTTGTATGATCCCGAACGGGATCTACCACTGATCACGCTCATTATCAAAGCTATGTATATCCGCAAAAACTCAGTGAAAACGTTACATAGTTTTGTGTCGATCTATTACGACAGTGCTACGCATGTTTTTAGTAGCGCAGATGAAATGTGCAAGTTTTGAGTTCTTCGATAAAGCCCGACTCGCGAGCACAGGTTCATCAAGGCTTTGTCAACTTGATTTTTCACTTATTTCTTTCACAGACATGTACTGTAGCACCGTAGTAATAAATCGATAGCCAACCTCTGTGACGTTTTCATTGAGTATTTGCAGATATTAATAACTTTAAAAATTAGCGTGATCAGTGGAAGATCCCGTTCGGGATCATACAAATAGCAAATCATTTCAGCTTATACAGCAGGTCTGCTACTCATTGTGCTACAATATTAGGGTAGTAGAGCCTCTAAAAGATGAACAAACAAGGAAGAACACAGATCCCCAGAGCACCGAGCTACGAAGCGGGAACTACCTGTTCGGGTAACTTACTCTGACGGGCGATTGATACATACCACCTCAGTCTTCCTCACATTGCAAACAACATGGCGCAAAACCGCACCATACCGGAGCCCGAAAAGGTTGGGATCGATGATCAGCTGATTTTGGCATGGAAAGCAAGAAAACAGATTCTTTTCTTTTTTTGTAAGATTTGCTAACTTTTTTCTTTGGAAAGCTGCTCAAGAGAAGAATTTTTTTATTTGATTTATTGAATTCATGTTGCAATTATTTCATTTTTTCATGAAATTTTCGTCAAAAAATAAGTTTTTGTTTCATTCCTGCATTTGCTAAGCCAAATCCTTAATAGCCTTCATCATCGATTTTGCGATAGTGGTCGCTATCAAAGATGCCTCGCGATACAGCAAAAGGGTGGTCAATGTCGAATCATGGCCGCGCTTTCAATTCCAATCGCTTACCTGTTCGACCAAATCGACTCAAGTGGTTCCTTGATTAAGAATACCTAAGTTATCATGTCTGAAAAGCGATTCGCATCCAGATCAATAGCTCACTAAATGCTGGACTGAGCCATCTTACGTTCAACATAGGCCGGACCCCAGTCGAGTTGCCCTGAAGGGGGGTTTACTACGGGCCAGAATTTCCTCTAGTGTAGGTGATCAAATGGCTCGCAAATTTGACATTTATCACACATTAAAGAAACAAACTTCAAGGGGTGTTCCGTAGAAGCTCTGCAGCCTTTAATCATCTTCGTAAAAGGACTAGGAAAGCTTCAAAGGTGCGCAGGTGCTCCAATTTGATAGTGTTAGACCACATGAGAAAATTAGAGTGAAATAAATTTTATGTTGCATCACTATTTGGAACAGTTTTAACAAGGAAAGGAACCTGACGACAGTGGCCATTCGAAATGCGATGTTTACCATAAGATGCATCTCCATATCTGCGAGACGAATTTATGGAGGAAGTTATGAAGTTTTCTCTAAGAAATTTAGGTATTTTAGATAATCAAAATATAAGTTTTGGTCTAGTTTGTCGTTTGGTGCTACAAAAGAAATTCAAGAGGTTATAGTAATATTAAGACTAACCAAATCATATTTTGCACTTCGAAATGGAAAATTTTTTTGTATTGATGACTTTGACGCTCCGCAGTAGTGCAATTCTTTCCTGGAGAAATAATCGTATTATTCTCATCCTGTTTGGCGTTTCGCGACTAGGGAAGACAGTTTTCGAACCAGCTTCAAGCGCTTACAATATACGCTCCATTAAGAAAGGCCACGGTCAGCAAGTACAATTCAGTTGTAACAAATCCTTGACTTTTTATTTTTGTCTTCTCGATGAGGGATCACCAAACGTTTGAAGGTTCTTCTTTTTCTTCGCAATGCCCTGCCCTCTCTCTCTCGGATTAATGCCTTTCCGACAAGTTCAAGCTTTTAGTGTGACCACTAGAGACTAACGAGACATCTTGTGAAACGTACATTCATATGGAAGATAGCATATGAAGACATCACCTGTCCTTCTCTCTGCGTCCTGCTCCTACAGGCGCTCTTTGCCATTGCCTTTGTGGTGAAAGAAATTACTTTTGATCCACTCAAAGGTAGTAGCTGTTGCTGGAATAGAATACGGACGAAATTTTGATTGCATTATCGTTCCTGGAACATGTTTGTCATACTTACCTCTTCAAAAAAAGCATATTTGTCTGGCGCCTTGTTACACTAACGAGTCAAACAAGACTAGTTTCATCCTTGCTATGTAGATTCAACTCGTATGTATCAAATAACTTCACTTTCTAACTAACTTCTTACGATAGCATTGCCATTGAGAAACTCGCACGGAGTTAGTTCAGAAAAAAATCTTTCAATTCAACTTGTACATATAGGAGCATAACATCTTGCACAATGTACTGAATGCCAAACTTTGGCTCAAGATTTCGTTTGGCATGCAGTTGCGAGGAAATAGTAACATGCTTTAATTGCCTTTTATACTGGTTCTTAACTTACTTTATAGATCTTACTCCGACTCAGCTTCACAACAGGCTTTGCTCTTTCTTGCAGAAAGGTATCACTTGCTTTCCAATCAAGCAGTCTTTGTACGTTTCGATTCTTATCTAAGCGTCAACAAATTAGCTGCAAAAGTAAACTCTACGCCACAAACCTAATTTCTGAGAAGCAGCTTCGGAGTTGCAGATTGACTTAGAGGATTCATCAAGCAATACTTCTTTCAGCGTTCGGTTGCTAGTAGTTCTCTCTTCTTCATTTTTATTTTGGTCAATTGCTAGCCATGATCTTCTCCGTTCCTGAAAAAAACGCAGTTTTTTTGCAGTCTAATACTTGGCCAAATGACGCAGGTGCACTGCATATACCATTTGCAAAATCAAAAAATTATGTACTTTTTTGTACTTTTTTTTTCAAAAAAATTAGTACTTTTTTTGTATGCTTCATCCATAATAAAACAATTTTTCTAATCTAAGGCTTGCAGCGATCTTTCCAAAGCTGATCGATGAACTTACGCACTAAAACTTGCACCGCCCCTCCCAATCAACAAAAAATAATAACAGTTTGTAAGTTTGTTACAGTATTTGATTTCCGTTTCATCTGGAAGGTTTTATCAATGAGTATATAATCTCAAACGAAATCGCGGTCATATGATAACCGTTTGTTTAGATATCAAGATGGTGCCTAGACCTAGACCTATTAGACACTTGTACCATCTTAACCTCGACAAAGCTTCAAGAACTATGCAACTTAGGTCTTCAAGTACTAGAAAGAAGTGCGTGGAAGAAAACAACTTCCAAAGCTTTTGTATTTTTGAAAGGGTTATGCTGTGACATAGAACATAAAAGTCATTGAATTGACTAACCTTTCTTTGAGGAGGTGGCCGAAGGTACAGGCCTGCAACAGTCGGTAATGGTGACGCATGTGGTTTGACTGTTTTCACGCCTTTAGATAGCAATGCAGCCTTCAAAATAAAGTGATTTAACTATTTCTATCCGAAGCACAATCTGATTCAAAAGCCGTTTAAGACCGCTAGATGGTGTACAGTACACATACGATACTCAACGTAGCTAATCGCTCAACTTTTTTGCGTAGTATCGTCCCCACTATTACCGTGATGGAATTTGTAATCAGAGAATTCGTAGGGCTATTTCATTGTAGAAGAGCGGTGTGTGGTAAAACAGCATCCAATCGACACCGAAGAATTTTGAATACGCCCTTGGTGTTGATGAAACGTCGGTTTGAAATTGCATACTAATCCAAGATTCATTGGAGTGCGCATCATTATTGGAAGAAAATAGTTGGAAATTAGTTTGAAGGGAAATTTTTTGCCCCCCCCCCCCTCCCTCGGACAGAAATCTTGCGACCGCCACTGGCTTTTCCTTACACCAACGATTTTATACAATAACACATGAGTACTTCGTATCCAGAGAAGTACTGGGTTGTGACTAGCGAATGTATCTACTTCAAAAGAGCCTCATTAAACAGCTACTTCGAAGCCGATTATGATGAACGTGAAAACCTGTTGAGATTAAAGAGCAGTTAAGAATGTGAGTTCGCAAGACATATGTAAAATATGGCGTCAGCACCTTTGCTCACCCATATTTTACACTCTGCTATCGCGATAATATCAAGTCCAAACAAATGGTTTTATTTTGTTGATCCGGAGCTGACCTTGGCTGCATCGTGTACGTGAGGATGTGGTTTCAAACTGCTTGCAGTCTTTTTCCTTTCAAGTTCAACCAATTTAGCAAAATTTCCTTCAGCCGTAAGTGAAGCATACAATGGTAGCTCATTTCTGAATTATTTATAACAAGCTAAAGGTTCTACGCAAACTGCAGCTTACCTGGATAAGTTTTTCACAGTGGTCAATCTATCCTTGTTGTTTTGAGGTGATAGCGTTAATTCCAATAGCTTTCTGCAAAATGTCGCAGGACAAATAATAATAAAAGACTTGGCCTTCAACACTTTGCGGGCTCCACTGAAGCATAACAACCAAACTGATTTCAATAGTGCAACATTCATTGATAGAGCACTTCCATTTTGTGTAAGATTTGCGAAATCAAGGAGGACTCCATGACAAATGAACTGTGCAGACGTTTGCAAGTGTATCATATGATACTCTCTTCTTGAAAAGCTCGTTTCACTTTCATTACTTCAGTTTGTCTCTCAAGCGAATGTTATTGTTCTTTATACTACAACGCGTTCTACATACTACATTGTCATCTATATTAGGTTGTTCCGAAAGTTCTGTCCGATATGCAGATTTTCTGATTAAAATGTTATGACTCTCTTCAAAGCCAACATTTCTGCACAAATCTAATTTTGTTGGATTGAGCGAGGTTACATCAATCGCAAGCACTGTATAACATGTAAAGAAAGCAAACGAGAAGGAAGAGAAAATTTGGAGAATTCTGCATAGTTTCCTTCAAACCATCCACTTAGACGTACTAATGCTTCCATATAAGGATACGCGGACATGTTTGACTGTTGGCATCAAGTAGCTTATATTTCAAAGATTCTTTCGTGGCTAAAGAGAATTCAACTACCTTTGCTGCACAGAAATTTTTACAAGCAAATTAAAAAAATTATTTGAGCCCTCTTCCGCGCGCGAATGGGTCGACTTTCTAATATTTGATTTTTCATTGCTGTCGCGAACAAAGAAATTTAACTGGACGATGGTCCCGGCTTGCTCACGCTTTACCTTATCATATGCATTAGTGACTGCACCAATGTTCGCTATACGTACATTGTTGTTACTTTTTTCAATAACTAAGTTTGTCTTCCACCTTTGAGAAAAAATTGAAAAAGTAAGACGTTCGCTTTGTTGGAGGTAAAGCGTGCGTATGTCAGCCCATTACACCCTGATCCGTTATTATATATTACATATTTAATTTGACGAGTACTGCGGGAATTCTCTTCACTGAAAGTTCTTCTTGAGCATAATGCATTTTGCCAACTTGACTTCGCGGCTTGGACTTTTATTACTGGGAAGATGTTTTATCAATCATTGGTGAGCACTAGAAGGAGCAAGAAAAGTGCTTTTAAATGATACTCCTACATCTGCAACAAGTACAAAACTCCAAGAAACTAGCTGCGTTGAAACAAGACAACTACAAATTGGACAGAACTTTCGGAAGAACCTAGTATATAAAAGTCAAAGTTTGTGCAAATCTCGACCGTATGTTATTTATAGACTCCTCTGCGCGTGAACCAATTGAGCTGAAGTTTTCCACACAGATGTTTTCGTAGATGGTTTTAGGCTACCTTTTGAAGCAATTCGCTGAATCCTTCTATTGATTTATTGATTTTTGACACTCTGCATGGAATTAAAATCTTACAAAGCCTTTTGCACATTTTGGTGTAAACAATAAAAGAGAAGCTCATTCTAAGTTTTAACAAGAAGAAGGCGGTAGGGCTAACTGATTAACTTTTCAAGTATCTAAGTTCTTGATAACCATCTCGCACACGTAGAATTGCATTCAGCTCCATGAGAGTGCGGAGCCATATTTAGTTCACTATTTGTAAAATTCGCCCGTTCAGACTGTCAAAGCGAAACTTTTGAAGGGCTTCCAAGAGCAGAAACTAGACAATGAAGGTAACGCTATTACCTAATTTCTGGATTAGGGCTTTTGGATACACCAATCGAAATGTCATATATGTAGATTTCATAACTGATTAAAATCTTGTAATCAACCTTCAACAGCCGGGCAGCCGGCTACAGCGGCTAGTATTACATGAAAGTTTATCACAAAGATGAGGAACCCGTAAGAAAATGAAGAGAATAAAAGTTCAATCTATTCAATTTTCGTTACTCTCACCGAAATAGCGGCTTTGTACTCTTCGTTGCTTCGCCGTAACGCACCAGTGGGTAAAATGAAGTACCAGTTACCTGGCCTGTTGGAATCTCTTTGCGTGTATTTTCTTTCGACGTTCTGTTGTTCGTTTCAACATAGTTGAATAGGACATGAGGTTGAGCCGACGTGATATCCTTTGTTCTAAAACAGAAGAAAACATGACATCCTTTACCAGGGCTCGGCACGAGGTGGCCTTTCGAAAATGTGAAAAAAGTCTCCCTCGACTTTCCTAAAATTTTACGGAGTCCTCTTTGACCCTAAACCATAGCGTTAAAAACTCTCCAAAAAATGAAGCTTCGACCATAAAAAATGTCGCAAATTTTGCGTCCTTCCACACAAAAACGAAACCGCTTTGCAATTTGCCCCAGAAACGATATTAAGCTTGCTTATGAGGTCTGTCCTTTACACTGTTACCTGAGATGTTCTCGATAAGGTTCGCAAAATTAATTGCTGAATGTTAACCGCCAGAATTTACTACGTTAACTTTGCAGTGCAGTTATGCTTTGAAAAATTACTAACAAGGCAGAGTGTCACTATGTGAAAGTGACCGATCCACAGACTTTCTACCGTTGATGAGAGCTTGTAACGCTGATTCCAAATTTGCATTTCCTCATGGTTACGGTTCTTCTAAACGTCAGTGTAACAACAGCAAATACTATAGATATACTAGATAAATCATTGCATGAAGTGTCTTGACAATTGTCACTTTTCATATATGGTCTAGAAAGGCTGCAGCGATTGATTTAGTACCAGCCACTATTCATTTCCAAAAATGCTTACAACTTCTTCCGCGAAGAGCCGCCTGGGAAAAGCAAATTTGTAATCAGTTACAAGCTCTCACGTTTGTGACGATCGGCCGCTTCGACTTCGTAATCGTCCCTCGTAAGAGATAGCTTAGTCCTCTGTGCCATTACAGCACCTAGTTTGTGTGTCACTGACGCGTCTTCAGAAACCTGAGAGTGTGCCAATTACTTCTAGCAAACGGTGTTGCCATCAGAAACTTGCTATCCCTAGGCTTGTTTCTATTTTAATATATTAGACTATCGCGTGGATTCGCTTTACCCACATCTTTCGAAAAGGTTGAGCTTCATGGAAAGACATTATAATATGACCAATCAAGCTTTAGAATCACGTGCGTCAACGACAAAACGACAGTTCCAGTTGTCAGTGACAGAAGAGGAAAACTGTTGTTAAATGCAAATCATAAACGTTGAACCTTTACGCATAAATACCTTCCCGATGTCGCAAACATCGACAAAAGATGAACCAAAATTGCCAGTCGTTTAGGTGACCGATAAGAAGATTGCAGGGCTCTCAAGAATAATGTCCTCAAAAGCCTTTACCGATGCCCGTAAATCGATCTGCAGAAACTCTCTTGAACAATTCTTGAATAAAAGACTAAACATACACTAAATGTTTTGACGGATTTCATTTGATAGAGTCATTTTGTGGGGAGTCATCATACATGAATTCTTCAAACATGTCCCCTTACAAGCAATAAGCTTTTCAGTCGATTATTGGCTATGGAAACATAAGGATCTTGCCTTATAATAAGCCGCTTAATCTGTAGGTGTGTCGAGTTTGTCCGATACGAAAAACAATGAAAAATGATTTACAATATCTAATAATAAGCCTGGCGAAGTCGCATAACAAGGAAGGTTCATTTTTCTGCATTCCTTAGTGGTCACTTAACTGAAATATGTTTGAAAACTTAGCAGCATTGCGCAAGTTACCTGACCGTTCCATATTGACCAGTGCAAGCCTGTACAATAAAATGCGCATAATTCTCAAATGCCCTGGATGTTACGTCTGCAAATGGTCGGGCAACTACGACTGCTATGCTGTTAATAAAGCCAACACTAGCGGCAGCGCTCTTTTTCCCTTATAGTTTGTTTCATCAATAACTGTTACGTTGTTACATACAGGATCTCAGTTCAAAATCACCCAGCCAAAAGTAGTATGCGCATTAATTTATGAGAGTGATTTGAAACGCAGGGGCGCATAAAAAATAAGTCACTTTCTTGGGACTACGAAGGATAAGTTAGCCATAGGAGTTGAAGCAAGTATCTAACACGGAACATTTCATAATTAATGATTGACACACGTCAGGCCTCCAAAGACAAGACATTATTTCCCAAAATGTCAATCAAAATTTGATTCAACCGCAATTGAAATTTTAATGTTCAATCAAATGTTCTACTGGTTAGGAGACTTTATGTCGCCGAAAGGGGTGGAACCACGCGGACCCCTGCAACAGGACAGCAGCTCCAAACAGCGACATTACATGTACCAGCTGTCCGCGCGGAGTGAGCCTATCGGCGACTAGTAGTCCCTTACCCTTTTACGTTGATATGCTGTAGCTGGAATCCATCCGGGAGGTATTTGTGGCAATGACTCCTTGTCAAGTGCATTAGCTGTAGAGCGTACGAAAATTGTTGTTACCTGTGCTCGTATCCGGTTTGAAGAAGGGTACTCCAGCTATACGAGAACGCATAGAGTTAGCCTGCATAGCCACAACTTCCGGAAAAGCGAGTGAATGTTCCGAGGCAAGACATAGTAGTAACCGTTGCAGGATTTTGTGAACTGAATAATGGGTATGTACTTATCTCTTCGGTATTCTATTTCGAGAGAGATGTAGCTTTCGCGGTGCAAGGCGTCCCTCGAAACATGGAGGGAGCAACGGTCATGCGCTATCCGACGATTACGCTAACCAATACATGTAGCCGCATTGCCGTGGACCTCTCAATTGCTACCTCATCGCCAGTTCGACGGGTGCAAGTAGCGTCGGCGCCTCATTTTGGTGCCTTGTTCAACTTTCGAAATGGTTTATAGAAGCATGTATGCTCCCAATCTTTATAAAGCAGCTGAGCCGGATGTCTTTTGGATTGGAAGATGTTTTGAACGAATTGGCTAGCGGATTCCGCACTATAGTAACTGTATCGGAACTGAGTTTGGAGCAGGGCCCGGCACGAGTCGGTTTCTGGCGTTTCTGAAAACGAAGTCTTCCATGACTTTCGGAGGTTTTACGAAGTCCCCTTTGACCTATTTGCTTAGGAGAAGATGAAAACAAGAAATAGTTACTAGTCTGAAAGATAAAACGTAGGATAAGAGTGAAAATCCAAATTGGAGCTGAGTACTACGCATGCACAAGAGTTTGGGATTGGAGCGCGATATTTTACAAAGCGATATATGAGAAAATGAAGGCAAAAAACAAAGGAAAGGCAATGATATGAAAATGTTTTCATGTGCTCAGGGGTAGATTTTTGACCGGGGAATCCGTCCATAATAGAAAAATCCAAAACTTATGTGAAGTGACAGAAATATATGCTCCAGACGATCTCAGATCGTCTGGTGGCCGTCTGGAGACGATCTAATTTTGGAAAACGTATTACTTCACATAAGTTTTCAAACCTTTTTACATAATTCTTTTGCAAATAATTTTTAATGTATACAGTACAATTTTGGTGTCATATGACTTTGTGTGCACTGTAAACAAGCAATTTGTTTATTTTAGCCTTGCTTTCAAATTGCGCGCACTTTTCGCCATACACGATAGAGCATGTCAATCGTGTGATAACCTGTCTGAAAAGCTTGTATTCGACTAAATGGCGCTTATTCTTGGTGCTGGGCCACGAATCGTCAAAAACGATATCTCCTTTGCTTTTTGCTCCAAAAACGAAGTCCAGCCTGCTTCTAGACGATCTGTGCCGGGCCCTGGTTTGGAGTTGGAATTGTAAGATTCAGAAAGCAGGAGAGGCAAATGTCCCACATCTTAGACCTCTTGCGTCGCTCGGTGATTTGTTGTGTGACTTCTGGAAAATCACAGGCTTTGTAGAGATAGTCGCGCACGGTTGTGCATCCTTGTTTATTACTCTTCAAGGTGATAGTAGCTTAGTTTGTAGTAATTTATTTCTTTTATTCGGGTATAGTTTCTTGTCATTAGAGTATGGACCATAATTTACTTCAAGTTACTTTGGTTCGCGCATTAGACGTTAGGTAGTTACTTCGTTATATCGCGCGATAAGCTTCGGGATTCCCACTAGGTGCTTTGAGACTACTGAGTTCACACGCAACTTGGCGGCAAATTCTGGATTGGGATAGCCCTATTTTTAGAGCCACAATTTCCGCAGGGGTGGAGTGTTTGTCTCCAAATTAATATAGCAAGGAGAGGCTTTGAGCACAATACTCCTAGAAAAGGGGCGACTCTTGAATAATGAAGAAAGTTGTGGGGGTCAGGCGCAAGGCTACAAAACTTCAGGCAGCCTGGCCTTCTTAGGGATTGCGCCTGACTTCGGACGCCCGCCTGACTTCCTACCCCATTGACTTCAGTTCCGAGAAAGCTTTTCAACCCAAGTTCAATGTGATTCGCTGGCACAATCCCCGAAGGTTTCACAGTAAGTGTTTACTTCGACTTGTTCCGGGCCTTGTGGTAATCCGTGGAGTTGAAGCACTTAAGGTATACAAAAACGCACCGTTTAAATTATGACAGCACTTCTTATTTTACTGTAAAGCGATATTGAGCTTAATTTCTAGCATAGACTTGCAAAGAACATTGATTTGTTATGGGTATAAACAAGCTGACTTTTTTCACTTTTGGAACCAAGTTAATCATGTTTGAAAGTCGGGTTTTTCAAACGTTGAGTGACACTAGAAAATGCAGTAGGTAATGGTTTGTAGAGCTCATAGAGGTAATTTGACATGCTGATTGCGGAAATGATACCTATCTCACACAGCAAGCTTCCTTATGACCTTATATAAAAGATGAATTCTTGAATTTTGGCTGAAACTTCAATTGTGGAATTAGTTAGTATGCTGTTTACGACCGTCATTCCCGTAGTGGTGAGGCTGCGAAATCCACCGGATCAGCACTTTTCTCTTCACCCTAATCGTAGACCGACCATTACGACTCCCCTCCCTCAGTCTTACCCCTCATTACGAGCTCCCAGGTCGGGCACGCCTGGCCCCACCAATCCTGGTGATCCTTCGAACGAGCGTTGAGATGTATATTTACTACACATCAATTTTACCCAACTTCAGCTGAGTTCCAAGATTTGCTTTAGTCTTATAGTGGCAGGTGGAGCAGAGCTTTTGCAATGCACAAATTCCAGACCACAACTATCTCATCAATCTAACAACGAAAAAGAGAGAGACTACCGCTTAAAATGCAAACATTCTTGGAAATAACTTAGACAATCAAAGGTTTCCAGTGGGAAACCACTAAGCCACCGCCAAGCCCCACCGAAAGCGCCATGGCCTTAACGCCTCACTGTCGCTTCCCGCTGAGAATGTCAGAACTGGCAGCGAGCTGGCTGCTATAAAGTTTTTAGCGAAAGCAAAAGCAGCGGTTATAGTAGGCCGTTCGCTGCCAGTTCTGACACTGTTTCAGCGGGAAGCGACAGTGAGACGTTAAAGGCAGCGTCCAGGCAAGTCTGGACCTATGGGGATTTTACGTGGAAAGTACTTCTGGGGCCCTAACTAAGCCACTGCCCAACCGGCAGCTCAGGTAGTGCCCTAACGCCTGAGATATTCCCCTCGAAAGTGGACCCCGCGACCGTGTTTCGCATGGATTCATGGCGCAAAGCAGGGATCCTGGCGCGAAACTGCCATGAATCCATGCGAATACGTACGCGGGGCCGGTTTCGAGGGGAATATCTTAGCCATTAGAGCACTACCTGAGCTGCCGCTTGGGCAGTGCCTTAGTTAGGGCCCCAAAAGTACTTTCCACGTAAAAGCCCCATAGGTCCAGATCTGCCTGGACGCTGCCTTCAAGGCCACGGCGCTTTTGGTGGGGCTTGGCGGTGGCTTTGTGGCTTCCCGCTGGAAGCCTTTGATTGTCTGAGAAGATGCACCAATGTGTTTTTTTTTTGATTTAAGAAAATCAAATCTGCGTTCAAATTCGGCAAGTTTCGCAAATAAAGAATAGTCGTAAGAAAAACGAAAAAGAGTGCGTCGAATGGTACTCAAACTGTTTTTCAGCTAATGCTTTATAAGGGTTGAATAGAACGAACTTGTTCGGATATTTTTAGTGAAAAATATCGGAAATCAACAAACATTCGCAAACACTACAATAATTTTGCCTTTTTTAATGGTTGTCAAAGTTCCTTGAAACTCAGAAATAAAATTCTGAAATCTTGCTGAAATTAATTAAATCAAAAATGATGATTTCAGGCGATTATCTCCATTCGAAATACTAATACGTCAGAACGATTTTCGCATACTAATCTAGCCCATCTGTTGTTATCATTGTTTTGGATATGACAAAAACGACAGCAGATTGCAGAGACAAGTAAAATTATCCGGATAAGTAGTTTCTATGTGCTCTCTTCTTTAAACCTGGGCATTATGTCGACTTCGTAAATGATATTGTGCCAAACATTTCATGGTGGATGTTTATTGCCTAACGTTCCGACAGGTATCGTCTTTGTGGGAGGGCTGAAAAGGGATTGCATTTTAGTACTTGTCAGTCTACACAACCAAACGCCTCTTCTAACTTGCGGCGTTCAGACCTTGTCTCAGTACAACGTACTGGGAAACAATTTGAAGTGGCAGACACCAACCTTCAATCCACCGGGAAGTCAGTAGTCCGCGCCACTGCGACGGACATCCTCACTGAGGGCTGCTCAGTGAGTCAGGGACATTTATAGTCCGCGGTTAGAATTGACATAATGATATGTAAGGCAAGGGTCATTTGTCACTGCCAGGCGCTCATTCTTGTTATTCATTCCCGCATTTCCAGTAGATATCTACGCAGCCTCCAGTGTTTTTCGTGCTGAGATTTCGGTCTCACACGCTAATATCGTGCACTTTACATTGAAATCGTCACCATCATGTGCCTCTACTCTATGGTTTCTCAACGGAGATGACATTGCCCCTCGTCTTTTAATAGCCAAAGGTTCCTTTATTCTAACGCTTAATGTTCTCCCGGTCTCACCTACATATGTTGTTCCACAGCTCAAGCACTCTAAATGGTGAACGATACCCTCCTTTGCACAATCACTTAGCCTTCCGTGTGGGCAGACGATGCAGTTTTCTGATATGCATGTAGTATCATACATTCTGTTTCCATCCGCTTTTTGAAACTGTTGCTAGGAATGCTGACCAGCATTACGTCATTCTCCAACTGCACTCGTTTTATGCGTCGTTTCATCGCCTCATCAAAACTGTCGGACACAAAGGGAATGCAAAGAGGACTGTTGTCGTTGTTACGCATGGTTTCGCTTACGTGTCTAGCTGATCTTTCCTTTGGTCGCTTACTTCCGTATCCATTACTGCGAGCAATTTCAGACGCCAGTTGTTGCAACTCTAACCGTTTGTTTTCGCCCGTACAGAACTCTGCAGCAGTTTTGTACATATTGTTGATGACGGAACGCTTTAGAGCTCTAGGATGCTCTGACGTGGCGTGGACAAGGATATTTTTAGAGCTTTCCCTTCGGAACCATTTGATTCGTACAGTACCGTCAGATAGAACTACCTGGGTATTCAGAAAGGAAAGCCAACCACTGTTCGGGGTTTTCCGTGTAAGCCTTATGTTCCCAGATCACCTAAAGACGTTACACTTCAAACATTCTCTAATGAGAGTCAATATGCGCGTTCCAAAGGTGACCATGGTAGAATAGTATTTGTCTTCTCCGAAACGGCTTGTAGAACAGCATCGTTATGAACGTTAGTGTATAGTGATGTTACGTCAAAAGACTCGATAACACGACCGGGTTGAAAACTCATGCGTTGCAGCTGCTTGACAAATTGCTGAGTGTTAGACAAATGCGCTGGTATTTTGGCTAATAGTTGGCTTACGAATGTATTAAGGAACCATAATATTCGATCAGTGGGTCCGCCGACGCAGCTTATTATGGGACGAATCTTATATGGTGACATTGACTGGAACTGATTGTCCGCTACCTTATGCGTCTTATCAGATGGTAGAAAACCGGGCATTTTGGATTATCTAACCGCAATCTCCTAATCAATTTAGCATCAGTCCTGCAGACCTCCTAACAGTAATCCAAACTTTATTCAACTTTCTACATTGTGTCTGATATTCTCGTTTTGTAGCAGATCGATAAATCGAGGTATCAGAAAGATGCGGTTATGCAATCTTTCGATCCAATGATTGCGGCATTATTAGAAATTTCCTGCCTTTGTCACTTACAGAGACTCGAATTTTTCGCTCCCGTACTAATTCACGCACTTCTCTAAGACCTTTCCAGTGTTCTCTTATAAGTTAGTGTGACGTATCCGTTTGAATTTGTTCAGAACGTGCAGATTTTCGGTGGAAAGAATGCGGAATTTTGTATTTATAATGGGAACAGGCTCGGGCTTTATAAAAGGAGCGAGGGAATGGTATCAATGGCAATGTCATACTACCCGTTGGTAACATGTGATGAGTATCGCTTTTTTTCTGGCCTTGTTTCTCAATGAATCTCTCAGATGATGTAAACTGCCCAATACCTTTCGGCGCAAAGGGACTCACGCTGCGATGGTGAAAATGATGGACCGAGATTGAGCAACTGGATGGCATGTGCGGATAAATGTTTGTTTAGCACAACATCATTTGCAAAATATCCGGATAAGGTTTGTGAACTTATAGGCTCAAAAGTTTGTGGGTTAGTATCAAGTAGTTGCGATTGAAAGATGAAAAAGTGAAGACGTTAGAAATTCACTGGATGGTTTTTTTTCGAGAAGTCAAGTCAGCAAGACGAAAATCCCGAAAAATTTTTACCAATGCAATTAATTTAGATGATATTGCTTGAATGTTGTATAGAAGAGCTTGAAAGCATTTGCGTAAAAATCACTTACAAGGGAAGGATGGTAAGTCGAAGTGGCCTTTTGCGATGACTTGTATATCATTATGTAGGGCATAAAACGCTGATTCCAAATCTGTCTTCCTTATCTGCGGCGCATTCCTTTACAAGAAGTTATGAGCGTTTATTGGAGAAAAAATTGAATGTGCAAATAATATAAAAACAGTAGTAACATTATTCCTAGCGCTTAAATGGACCAGTGGTAATCTTTCCAACACTCTATGAAATAAATACTCTTAGGTGAGATACATCCACACTCCGGCTGTCTCATTCAAGCGCTGGGAAAATTTTAGCCAATGTTTTCATCCCAGAAAAACACTCATTTTTTGCTCCTTCAAACGCTCATAACTCCTCCTCCAGGAACGCGCCGCAGACAAGAAAGATAGATTTGGAATTAGCGTTTTATGCCCTCCACCATGGTATACAATTCATCTCAAAAGGCCACTTCGACCAACCATCCTTCCCTTGTTAGATTACGGAATAAGGGAAAGTTGATGGCGTAAGAGAGAAGTAAAAACTGGTACCATGTCACTTCAAGTAGGAAAGGTTTGCTGAATTGCTTTTTGCTTATATGGAAATTGTGACAGGAAGGAAGCGGTTAAGTGATGAAAAAACCGGAAAGTAGGAAGTGCAAAAAATTCTAAGTTGCACACACAGCTTGAGACACATCTTTTTAGAAATCTTGTTATTGAAAGAAAGTGAAATGTGATTTAACCACAATACTGGAGCACGAACGTAATTAAGAAAGAGTGTTTCAGAAAGTAACTTGAGGACAACGAGAATAGGGGCACCACGTGGTCTATAAACTTCCCGAGGTAATGATTTTCGTCGAAGTAACAATTAGAGTGATAGTCAAGGGACTTTGACGGAGGCATCATGACCAATAAAGAACAAGAATTGTAGACAAACTGTAAGCTTTTCTTTGCTGAAGATTATGGAGCGTGAGAATTTCAAAAAAAAGTATGAGAAAGCTTTGTTGATTGAAGTATTGAATGGGAGAAACCTTGGAGATTTAGCGCGACTAACGATAGAACTTTTGATGGAAGGAATTGCAGGCACTTTAACTGAGATTTCTCGAAAAATGAAAAGCAGGTGCTAATCAATTCTATTTTTTTTTCAAAAAAAAAGAGAGAAAGAAGAAAGCAACGAAACTTAAAAGAGTGCCGGCTAAATTTCCTGTTTACCGAAGCATAGAAAAGGCGTAAAAAGAGACACCCTCGTGTAGTTTGAAATGGGCGTATATCAACAAGGGCGCTTTGACTGATTCTCAATTTATGACTTGAGTACTTCGCCTAAAACACGCAATTTTCTGGGCTCTCGATCAGCAGATCTCTCGCCGTTTGAAATTATCGAAATCATCAGTATGATTTTACCTTTGTCCTTAGCCTCCTGGTAAGCGACAGAGAAAGTGTTTAGCCTTTCCGCGCATCTGTAAAGAATTTTTTTGGCCAACGCTTCAACTAAGTGATGAGAACTTTTTCTTCAACTGTCATGTCCATTCTAGACTGAAAATGTCTTTTTAGCACTATTAAAAATTTTACTTTAAACTTCTTACGATCGTACACCACCAATTTCGAACTTGCGCAGACATGCGGAAGTCCGAAACTGGTGGTTCATATAGTATGCTCATAAACATATGTTCATATGTGCATATTCATGAAGAATAGAAAATTTGAGGATGCTAATGGAGGTTTTGTATTAGGTTGTTACATAAGTCTTGTTATACTTAAATTCTAACGGCGATAAGTCATGTACCTCATATTCTTTACAGGGTTTCAGGATACCTTATGATAGAGCAAAGCAAGCTCTACAAGATGGTGTGCAAAGGTTCGCATCAACTTTGACCCCTGTAACTTTGCATCCGGAACATGAATCGCACTGAAGGCTCAAAAAATCGCGAAAACTTCATATCTTTGTTCAGAAAAATTCTACGAATCTCCAACTTGCTCACAAAAATTGCCCACTATATCAAACACTTATATGTAACGTTGCTGTATTTCTTCCTCATCTAGAAATCGAAAAAGGAAAATTTTTTTGGTTTTTACAAAAACGAATGCTGCTTCTATGCATGTAACTGCATACTACAAGACCTTTGAAGTACAACCGTAGATTTTCAGTTCTCCAGAAGCCCTAGTTTTCGAAAACTACCTAATATGGCATTGAACATTTGAGTGAGAGAAGCTAAATCTGGTATTTTTCGGAAAATAATGCCTGTAGAAAGCTGAAAATCTAAAGTTATACTTCTAAGGGCTTGCAGTATACGACTACATGGGTCGAAACAGCATAGCTCCATTTTTGTAAAAACAAGAAAATTTTTGTTTCCTCGATTTCTAGGTGAGAAAAAAATACAGCAACGGTACATGTGAGTGTATGATATAGTGTGCGATTTTTATGAGCAAGTTGGAAAATCGTAGGGCTTTTTGAACAAAGATATGAATTTTTCGCGATTTTTTAAGCCGTCATTGCGGCATATATTACGGATAAGCTTACAGTGGGTCGGAGCTGGTGCGAACTTTTGCACATTATCTTGTAGAGCTTACTTTGCTCTATCAAATGGTATGCTGGAGGCCTATTAAAATTATAATGTTCACGACTTATCGTCGTGAGAAATCAAAGTGTAACAAGACTTATGTAACAACCTAATACAAATAGTATGAGTAGAAGCCAGCTCAATTGCCTCTTCGTCGCCGCTTTTTTTTTCAAAAAATTGAGCATCGCTGACCTTGAATGTTCCGGACAGCACTGTAACAACTTTTCACATCCGTCCCTAGCAGATCGGAAGATCGTAAGACATGCGAATGGAGTACTGCGGGATTGACTTTTCAAGCTCAAGGTGTTCCACGAGCAATCCTTCACGTTCTAAAAGGATATAAGAGAAGTTATGGAAATCGAAATTTGCAAATACCCTCGACTCACAGTATCAGACAAGCGATGATTTTTTGAAAGATGTATAAAACAGCGGTGAGCATCATCGTTCACAAGCAGCTGCAGAACTTCGAAGTCGAAGCTGTCGGAAGCAAGTTTTTCTGCATGAAAATTTAGTTTGTGGAAACACAACTCCTTTACATTGCGGATTTATGCATCATACAATCGACCGCGGGACTTGTTTCTTCAATATATTAGGTCGCTCCATGAGTTCGTAGCGTCTTTATTTTCGTCTTATTTCTTTGAGGACCGCTAATTTGCGACGAAGTGCGACTGATAAATGACAAAATGAGAGATCCGAGTAGACCACTTTCTACCGGAAATAGAAGATACATTTCAAAAAGTATTTCATGCTAGATCCACCGCCGTCTGGTTTTCTGGTCTCTAGGCGGTTCTCCCCGCTCCAAGCCCGAAGTCAGCGATCGCCCCTTGGAAATTAAGAGTAGGCCTAGTAAGTCTGCTCTTGTAGGGGAACAAATTTTATTACTCAGTCAGCAAGAAATAGAAAAAAACCCTGCACATCGGATTCCGCCTACGTAGCCGGGTGGCAGCAAGAACGATGTCAAGGTTTTTTAGGCTTTTGGATTGGACAGAAACGACACGTCTGCCCGAAGACACGACATGAAGACTGCCTCATGCTCTGCATCTACAACGCCAGGACAGTCTCCACCAACGCCGACCTCCACGCTCTTCTCCACGCTGCAGAGCACATTAAATAGCACGTCATCGCTCTGCAGGAAACAAAGTCCAGGCAAAAGGACTTGCGACAAATGAATGATGGGACCATTCGTGGTGAAAAGGTTTCATACAAAACGTTGGAAGTGTTGGCTTTGTCCTCCACCCATCTATCGTCCATCTTGATGATTCGCATGATAACCTCGACTAGCCATCCTACGACTGCGACTTCCACGTCAGAAGACCATCAGCATCATAACTGCTATCCTCCAACATCAGCAGCTGACGAATTTGAACTAGATGCTTTTTACGAAGATGTGGAGGAGGTCCTTCCGCAACAAGAGCTTCGTTCCACAAGTTTGTTGTGGGCAACTTCCATGCGAAAATCGGGTGCCACTGGAAAAGGAATATAGGATTGGGAAGTTTGGATATGGGCTCCGGAACGAAAACGGCAACAGTCTTGTTGGGCTTGTCTCCGCAGCACGACTTTTATGGAACTTCCACTGGAATTTCCAATTCATGAAGAAAGAACATCGCCGGTGCACATGGGAATCGCCCCGCGGAACGACTCGCGCGGAGATCGACCACATTCTCACCAACCGAAGGTGGAGGTTGCTCGATATCAGTAGTTCCATCCTTCTGCAGTGGCTCCGATCACCGTCTCCTTCGAGCGAAGCGAATGATTCTGTTGGTTTATCAAAACGATACAAACTTATAGAACGACTTAATACATTGTGTGACATTTTAAGCATTCTATCTCGTGAGCAGTCCATTTAGCACAATTTTCGAGCTTCCGCCACAACTTTTCCCCATACAAATCAATTTTGCGCGGGGTAAGCTGCGTCATAAAGTCTATTGTGTACTAGTCTCTTGATGTTGTTTCCTGGTTTACTAAAAAGGTACATTCTCGATCTAGCCGAGTTGTATCGGACATTGCTCAAAGAGCGTTCGTCACATCGTCGAAAATAAAAGATAGACATAAGTATGACTAAATCACTATGAGAAGTAGCAATTCAAAAATTTAACATGTTACGCAGAACTTCACTTATTATTTCAAATGGATGAGCAGATGTAGCATACAAAATTACTTTCTCAGAATTCCCCTTGCGATACCATCTTAGCAGGTACTATTCGATAGAATCAACCGTGTGTTCAAGAATGGCAACCGCTTCTATTGCTAGCTCTTTCAACTGTGTACGGTAGGCTTTCGCGCACTCAGATATGTTACACATGAGAAATTTTCGATGAGATTCAAAACGCGCGCTTTGCTGTGTTCATATCTAGATGATCCATGTGCATTAAACATCTCAGAAGGAGCTAAGCATGACTTTTGGGCATACTAGAGTACAGTGACGTTATGTCGAATCACCTTACGAATCATGAGATTAAATTCAGCTGATCATTGTCTTCCAAGGAAATGTCTAGTAAACATAAGTGGGACAAGGCAGTATTTAGCACAGGAACTGGATAACTTTACTGAGAAACTATTGTATACAATAAGTGGTCTTTTGATCTGCAGTAGACATGGTTTGTGTGTTGTATACAGGGAACTTACGCGTTTTTCAAAGGCTATAAAATATAGGGCAGCATGGATTTTTGAGTTTCATTTGCTCAGAAATTTTTCTCTAATGTTGTATTTTACCGCGCTATATCCAAATATGATTCAGGCGTCTACGCCAGAGAAAAACTCGTCCTTAATGAGACGGGGTATCTGAAAGGCATTTCTTAGTGATTGCGCCGGTCCAATTCTTGACACATGATGGGCCGGTAGTAATCTACCCTACTTGGTGGCATCAAAGATGCCGGCAAGTTGGCACACATCGCGGAAAGATGCCAACTCCGCCGGCAGCTCGCGGAGTGATTATAGGTTTTGATAATCTTATGTAACCTTAGCGCGCAATCATTTCGCACATTAAATTTTGACGACGCAGACAGCCGCAAAATTGCTACTTAGCCCGCGGCCGAACCTATGTGCGTTAACTTGAAGCACCACCACGTTAACCACTCGACCATTCGGTCAACCGTTGCCGTTTGCACTAGCAATAGGAGGAACGCGCTGGTAAATGGCTGCCTGTAAGAGGGATCGATACATTGCGTGAGAGACTTTGACCTGAAAGAACAGCTGATTGATATGAGCGGGAGAGGGGCGAAATCGGTGCAGACGAGATTTATAAGGGACTAAAAAAGATGATGTTCTTTATGATTCTAAGGCATTTCTGGATTTTTTCTTTGTAAGAAAATCGTCGATTTGAAAAAAAAACTCATGTAATAAGAAAAATGATAGTTTTCTGATGAAAAGTAGAATTTTTGATTTTTTTGGCCCGACGTAAATTGTGTGATATCGCTGCAATTCGCAAACTCGCAGACGCCGTCGGCAAAGGTGCCACCACCTCGACGTGGTAGGGGCACGTCGAGATGCCGGCAGCTCCCTCTCTCAAAAGAGCACGCTATTTCCCGTGCTCTCTGACCTGCCGGCAGCTGCCATCTCGCGGATTTCGACGAGCTGCCGGCAGGTTGCCGGCAACTTACATCGCGAAGTTGGCAGCTCCTTCTGCGCTTCCAGATATTATCCCATAGGAGGATTTCTAGAACCGCAGATTTCTATAAAGTTTTCTATAGAGTCTAGGCGGCATCTTTATAAAGAAAATTTTTTGGAAATAGGCCTGGGACCGCCTAAATTTGGGGTTTCACTTTCTGGCCACTTCACGGAAAAGGTGCCAGCGACCTGCCGACGAGACCTGCCGCCAGGTCGGGGGGATTACTACCGGCCATGATTACAAATGCCGCCTTTGTCCTTAGCCGATAAACGAACGAACTCTCAATGAGATTTTGTACTTCTGCAAATTCCTGCCACATCCATAAGTTAAGTTATTTAACATTCCTGTTTTTTCAATACATTGAGTTTGCTCGAACAAAGAAATAAGACGACGGCCCTGCGAAACATGTTCAAAACTGCCGTGGATGTATGCAGCGGCGAAAAGGAATAAAGAGAACTCAAGATGGCAAACGAAATATTAGCAGATGGTAACTTCTCAACTAGATCCGGCCATTCTAACAGAAAATCAAGAAGCATTACCGAGTTAAAGTCGCAATCTCCTTATTTCTATTTCTTATTCAAAGATGACGAACGCCTCTAAGCAATGCCCAATCCAAGCCCAGCTAGATCAAGATATTCTGCTTGCTAATACACCACCTAACAGCTCAAAAGAATGTTGGTGCTTAATAGATTCACGACAAAGTTTGCATTACGTTGTATGGAAACTCGAAAGATAATGCTCAGTTTGAAACTGCTTACAAAATAGAATGCCTAGAATGCCATGGTATGTATTTGTAATAGTGAAACAGGTCGTCCGCGAACACCTGACTAGTAAAAAACGAAGTAGCATGACAAGTCCGCGCGGGAAGCATAAAGGAGCAGACCACAATAGTAACGATTTCGATGACAGTGATACTACTCTAGCACGTGAAAGTAATCGGAAGCACGCAAAGCATTCGAAGCGTCGTTTATCCTGCTGCGCGAGCTTTATGAAAAGGACAAACAAGTCTCAGACACTGGGGTCTGATGCCATTTCTCTCTTACTGTCAGTTGATACTCAATATTACTTAGGGTCCTTCTCAATGGGACATCTCAGTCATTTGTCATCTGTCATCAGTAAATGTCCTTGTAAATGTCCTTACACTGCTGTGCGACTTCAACGCAGTTGGTTGAGTTACGTAGGGAGTTAAGGCACGGTCGTCCACTTTGAAGGAATCGAACAGAGCAAGCGAACAAGTCGGTTTGGCTGTGTAAGAAAGACCGCGACATTCTTTCAAGCCTCTAAGGAAGGCATTACGAGGTTTCAGGCTCAATAGATAAGTTATATCAATTCGCTTGGCTTAAAAACTAGGCAACACATCACAGATGAATGGGCATTACGAACATGGAACATGAAATACTACGTGAAAAGGATATGTAAGTGCCTACTGCGAGTTCTGACAAAGAGAAGAATACTAGGTCGCAGTGGCGAACGGAAATGATACGCATAATATTAGATGTGTCTTGATGAGCTGATTCCGAATCTACCTTTCTTATTTACTAAGCGACTGTCTAGAAGAAGCTATGGCGGCTGAAGATGTGACGTTGTTGGGGTTTTGATGCGTAATGTGCTTTGATGACTAGTCTGGTAGTGATTAATTGGCAAGCTTTTGAGTGCACTGATTACAAACAATGCATACATACTACACATAAATAAGTGTTTTTGAACAAGTAGCTCTTGAAGATGTGGCACTGAATGTTCGCCGAATTCGAACATTCAAAAGCATATAACTTCTTCTAGAGAAAAGCCTAGCAGATATGGAAGTTAGATTGGATCAGCCCATCAAGCTACGGATGAGAGTTTTTATTATTCTAAAATCTTACCTTGACATATTTGAGTCGCATTTTCATGCTCCGTCATAAAACGTGCAAATGTTTGTTCCTTTGCCTCTAAAGCCAGGGCCAGAGCGGTCGATCCTACGCACTGCCGCAAATTTGCATGTGCAAAGTCCATACAAGATATGTATTGAAGACAGTGTGTCTGAAATTTATATTTTCTTGCTAAATGTCTTATTGCTTACATCACGCTTACCAGGTTAGCACTTGCGTGGTCGTTTACTAAGAAAAGAATTATCAGTAAAGGTAGCATGATAAATTTGCTTATGGGAAATTGAAGGGTTTAGGCAATAAACAACATAGACAACACAAGAGTTTTGCCGATTCTCTGAAAGCTCTCGAATAAGGCAGGTGACAGGCAGTATATGAGAAGCTAGACCGTGTTTGGTTAGATAGGTTCGAAAACGTACGACGACCGAATAATGCGCTGGAACGAGCATGTACAGGATTTGCATTCAATAGCACCACTATATCCTCAGGAAGAGTGCTTGACTCCTCTGTTTTCCACTTTTTAAGACAGTTATCCTCGTTTGGAACCTACTCATGGTGCGGATGTAGACGTGTTTCTCAAGTTTATCCAGTTTTGTAGACGATAGATGTTTTTGATCAAGCAAGGAGCGAAGCTTGCAATGATCAATTTTTCAAACTGTCTTTAACTCTTGAGATTTTTACGGTGCCTATATTTAGCGTTATTCATATACATCAGTCAGCAAGCATTCGCAATAACAACACTTGTGCTTCATCACAACGTGCTTTTCTGGGTGGGGAGTAAAAGAATTTTCCGCGAAACAACAAAACCTGAACATCGTCTTGAACAACTACTAGGTGGGTCCAAAAGTTCGTGCCGTTTTTTAAACCTATTCTAAAATCGTTCAAAATGAAGACAAATAGATCTTTCAAGCAGATTTCGATACAGAATTTCTTTCTCTTTCCAGCAGCTATGTTTTCGTGGTGACAGCTTCGACGAGCGATGAGATGATTGCTGAAAACTAGAACCCTTCATTTTCACCATGTTTGAGCTAATTTTCAGAATTCTCATCTTAGAATTTTGAAGGTGCTCTAATAACCACCTGATAAGGCAAATCTTTTTCAACTCAATGCGATTTTTTGCATTTTTTCAGCTTCCTCTTCAGAATTTTGTTGAATTATTTTACCAGAGCATCAAATTTTGGAAAAAGCGCGTGGCACATAATTGCATCAAACACTGCGAAATCCTAAAATCATTGAAACTGGGTTATTATTATCACCAGTATTACGAAGTAAATTTGCGATTACGGCGTGAAACCGGATATATTTTGGAATTTCGACTACAACCTTGCGCACCCGTAAAATTGAGAAGTACAGCGATTCTGTCTGCAAAAGTCGCATGTTTCGCTAAGAAGAGGTAGCTATCAGAAAAAGGAGAAAAAGATGCATCGAATGGTACCTTAACTGTTTCAACGTCCGATGTTTTGCGAGGTTAGAATGAGCCAAATAAAAAATGTAGTCACTTCAAAAAATATACTTTAGTATCTGGAAAGCATGCCAGGGAGATGCAAAATGTTGCATTAATTTGAAAAGGTTTGTCCTATCAGGTGGTTATTAGAGCACCGTTAATATTAGAGCACCTTTGAGGGCCCAAAATGAAAATCTTGAAAGTTAGCGAAAGTTGGACATGGTAAAAATAAAGAGTTTTAGTTTTGAGCAATTATCTCAGCGCTCGTCGAAACAATCACCACGGAAACATAGCTGCTGGAACTTGAGAGATTCGTTTTCATTTTGAACGATTTTAGAATAGGTTTGAAAAACGGCACGAACTTTCGGACTCACCTAATAGTCTTTTTAACGAACTTTTTAACAATATTGCCTTTGATTACATCATCTAGGTTGATGCAAAGTTAAAGCGAGTTTTTTCAGGATCTTCTTTTAGACAACTGTTTTCCCTTAAACTCCTCTTTCACACATATTCCACATCTCGCTCGACAGCTTGATTCATAACCTTTACAACAGTTGCTGAAACGGGCTTTTAGTCCCATCGTTTGAGATTCTATAAAGTTTCAAACAACTGCACGAAAAAGCGCAGTCTCAATCATATTTCTTGTTCTGCATTCAGCAATTCTAACAATTGAAATACGCATTTTTTTTCAAAATTAGCTGCTGTATGAGACAGATATTCTTTACTTAGTGCACACGCAAACATCTTTTTCGATATTGTTCAAAATGAGTCGTTTCAATATAGTTATCCGTTGTGGGCTCTTTATGCTTCAAAAATTTTCCCTAAAAAAAGCAATCGTCAAAGCTTCTGCCATTTTTGTAAGCTTAAGGGTAGAACATCTTGCTAACAGTTTCCACAAAAAAACAAGTTTGTGCATGAAGGTTCGAAAATTTACATAATTTGGGACTTTCAGGGCTACCACAAATAGCCTCAAAAATTGACAATTTTTATTTTTTACAATTTTGTTTCGAACCTCATCGACAATTTCTCCTCCATTCGCCTTTGTACTATTCACCTGTGGCTCAAGATAAGCTGACTAATAGCCATAATCAAAACATGTGAAGGTTTTTGTTTTGTCAGTAAACGACGTCTCGGAAAGAAAAAGTCCTTGGCGTGGCTACTTCAGTCAAAAAGAAAAAGTTCTTTTTTCAGTGCAGGGTCTTCTTCCCGTTTATGATATAAGTATAATACAAGCGAGTATGCTCTAAGCTTCAAAAGCTTTATTGCTTCTATTTTCTTACTGATCTTAGTAGAAGTGAAACTTTGCCAAAACGCATTATTTTTGCATCACTTAATAGGCCATCGTTTCCACAAAAACGCCGCATAAAGTATTTTTCTTAATTATGCGCACGTTCTCGATAATATCCTGTAATTCCTGCTTTGCGCAGAATCGCTCTCAAACGATGGCGAAGTATTTTTCCCGGTAGACGTATAGCAAAATATTATTCAATCTTCAAGGATCACCTAAAGAGCTGCTAGGATTCAAAAACGCCAATTTCTTCAATTGGAAAGCAAAGAACTACAGCGGCTTCACTACCTGTCTCTCTATTTAGCATAAAGAAACCTTTGAGTAAGCAAAATCTATACCTTATTCTTTTTAGAAGTCTGGAACATTTATTAAGCATCATAAACTTTAACTTTATTACAGTTTATAATTCGTCAAAAAGTCACATTCTCAGCGTCTCATCGCCACATCTTGGTTCAAGGTGGATAACTCCTATGCTAAATCCAAAGTTACCGCTCAACTCAGCTTATCAATATTTAATGTATAGATGTACCCGTTTGAATACGTTGGGCGCAAAGCAACCAGATATCGCAAATCCTTTCAAATCTTTGCTCAAGCTATCTTAGTGCTTATTCGCTGCACCGAATAACTTACCGTAGGCAAAAATATGGGATCTAGCCGCCCAAGCAACCGAACAGGTATTTTGATTTAAAAATTGCGTCTCGCCCGAGCTGTGCTCTTGGATCCCGAATTTGTTCACTCTCACCCAAGATATGGGGATGTGATACGGATTTCGGTAAATTCCGGAGGAATCTGCCTTTTTCAGCGGATTTGTGCGGCAAGGTATGTTACCGGTAGATCACCACGTTCTTCAGTCAGTCATGATTTTTGAAAGCTGTTTCTTTATCCAAAGAAAAGTTTCAAAAATGCTTGCATGGTCTGCAAGCAATTTCGAAATTTATAAAGTGTTATCATCTGTTCACCTAGTGCGTCTAGAAAATCGAAAAATCGTAATGAGTTTCTGAAGAAGTAAAATCTAATCTGTTTTGTGAAGATTTGCAGGACATTGATAGGTCTTCCTACGCTGCGCACGCAGAATGTTACAAGGTCTCAAACCACTCAAACAATCTCGTACTTTGCTATATCGCTTCAAATAATTGGAAGCATACATATAATAGCAGAAAAACGTTCAAGAAAGAAAACCGAGAGCTCAATGCGCCAATGGCCACAACCTCAACAATTACTCTCGCGATCACACAGAGCCACCTTGAATCATCTGCATTCTGCATCAAGGCCAGTCTTGTTGGTCAGCGACCCTCTGCATGCGTTTTTGAGACAGAAGAACGTCAAAAAATTGTAGAGATGATAATTGCCTCGAAACTGTCTCCGTCCTTGGTTTCGACATGGTGACCAGTTGCAAATGGCCGAATAGCCACTCTAGCTTCACCGAGGCAATTGACAGCAAGTGTGGCCGTCGTGGTAAGCCATGAGCGATTTGTGAGGCGAATCTTGATCAAAAAAAGGTGAAGAACTGACGGAGAAGAGAAATTTGAGCCAGGTGCCAACACTCTTTGTGCTTGTATACTGCTTGCTATAAGTATGCACTTTACAAAGGGTGCTGTACAGTTTTTAAGAACCCTCACTTTGCTTATCTGGTTCAGGATCTTTGCACGGTATCTTGAATCAAAGTAAGAAATCACTGTGTAACTTGTCTACACTTTTGAGCAGCTAGGATAATTTTTGAAGTCTTATATTCTAGCCTTGCAAAAAGAAATCGTGATTACGGGCCCGCAAAAATTTTCAGAACTTCGAACAATTTTCGGCGTGAGTAATTCATTCAAGAAAATCTTTTGTTGCGGCAGAGTGATTGACCTCGCATGTATCAGATCACCATTGAGCAAGTATGTGAAACTTATCCTTCTTTCGAACCTCAACTGTTTTTACTCTAATCTTAAGCTGTAATGTAAGCGATAATCGCAATCCAATCTGGAAACCCCAAATTTGCGACATGCTTAGGACATAGCAGCGTTCATCCACCAGCATGATTGATGCAAGTGCAATAACGACCAACAATCTTACGGCAGTTTTGTAAAAGCACTCCAGATTTCAATTTTTGTCAGATTTTTTTCCCTGCACCTACTCGTGGTTTTCCTCTTCTAGATTTTTTTGGATCCTTGACAGTCTCTTGCATGAAGGCACTCCGGTGCCTCTAGCGCTTCAAAAAAGAGGGGTGAAAAAACATCAAAAAAAAGTTCAGAAACTTTCCGAATCTTCTTCAATGTGCATCGTGTAGAAGTAAATACAGAAGACTTTGAAATGATTTTTTTTTGAATTTTAAAGACGTTTTCTTCGTTGGAGTGTCGAAGATTGCAAAAATGACGCTGACATTTGAACGGCTCACAAAAACGTGTGTTATCCCCCCCCCCCCATATTTGCTTAACGCTACAGACTATGCCGTACCTATATAATTGTCACATTGCCTTATCTCTCGCTTATCACCCGAAAAATTGTCAGCTCATTTACAAAAATGGGAACAAAACGGATTTTTAGCCACAGAGTAAGTGTTTTGCCCACGGATCGTGGATGTGACGGTAGGATAAATAGGCCTTTTGACTCTGCCAATATGCCGTGAACATGAAATCCTTTCAAAATTTCTGAGATTTTTCAAAATCAGAATAAAAAGTGTAACAAGAACCTAATAGAAAGGTTTAATCATTCTTTCCTCCGATTTCTCAATGACTCTGCTATTTTTTCCAAGCTTACAAAGCCCAAGGCAGATGACGATAGTAGCTCTGATGGTTGCTACAGATAGGATTTTTTTTGTTGTTTTTTGTATTCAACAGGTTCATGGCGTTCCTCACAAAAGAACAAAAAACACATGGTATACACTAACTATAAGAATATATCAATGTAGCTTGGGTGTAACTAGTCTAGTCAAAGTGCTAATTGTCGATTTTACTGCACATAGCTCCATATTGTGGCAGTCGGAGGATGTGAAGATTATCATTCTTTACCCTCGTTGAATAACCACCATTCTGAAATTCACTGACTGTGGGAAGTGGTAATAAACAAATCCTTTGGTGAAAATCATTTTCATTCCATCATTGATAAATGACTATATAAAGAGATATGCAAACTGAAATGGCCATTGTATCTTCGTTTCCGCAGTATGACTGACCACATCGTAGATGGATGCGGTGATCACGTCTCGGCTTTGGATACTGAACCACCGGCTATGGAACCGATCCTGGACGACGGTGAAAACTTCATGCAGGGCGTTGAGGAATATTTCTACGAGCTGCTCATCGACATGGACATGGTCAGCAGAATTCGACGAACGAATCCGACGCAGATCCAAGCTGGCCAGGTAATTCTAGCTTAAGTTTCTATTCTAATATAGGATGTTTTAGATGGTACTTTCGCGAGAGATTTTGCGAGTTTGGGATCTAATGTACAGCCATCGCTTCCTCCAGTTACATTCAGATGAAAATAGGATGCAGAGTGAAGAGAGACCCTAGTAAGGGTCTTAAGATAGCTTACCTCTTTACGTCAATGGTATCTTTGTAATGTAATCATTACTGTCGCTGTATGATCATGACTGAGGAAAACTGGTTATTAGAAGTGTAAGATGGCATTAATCAAACAGTTTACCATGATAATCGGTAACCATATTTAGCGACAGCAGTGAAAAGCAATGCTTAATTTCCCATGGGCATAAATGCATTGAAACTTTTCAGGAATTCTTGGGACAATATGAAGACAGTGTAATTGCAAGCACTCATTTGAGTCAATAATAAAGTATTGTTCTAACTAGTGTAATCAATCTTGTTATGTTCTACTCTCAAACAAAAACAACTTCGAAGCAAGTTTCTTGATTGGTTATAAAGTGATAAAGTTCTTCGATTTCGCAACTCTAGTTTTTTTTCTGCTTTGAACATCATACAGACAGTGCGCATCACTTACTATATCATGCGGTTTTGTAAACCACGCTTTTTGACACCTTATAGTACAGAAGACGAATTTACGGTGTGGTCAAGCACAGAAACATGTTTGATTTGAATATAAAAAAAAAACGTCCGTCATTCCTGTCTTATTGAGTCGGTTGTCACGTTTTGGCTCAAAAGTATCTGCTGATCTCTGTCGCTCTGTTTAATAGCATTTGTAAATTTCTTGGGTCAAAGCAAAAACCACGTCAAGCAGCTGACAAGAATTTGAAAAAAAGTGGGAAATCATTCTTATGTGGTCAAAACTTATCGATCTTCACACTTATCGAGCATATGCCGTTGTTGTTGTTCGGTCATACATCCGATGTCTTCTGTGTTGCCATTGTTGCCAGTACTGTGGCTGTTGCCGATGTTGTGACATTGTTGCCGGTGCTGCCGTATAGGTGGGTCCCCCGGGTTTCCATCAGTGAAGTGACTAGTCTTGATCATTCACGTTCACAATTTTACAGTTTCAGTTTTTAGCGCTAAATGCGAGTAGTACCATGATCTGGGGCATTATTTATCAATCTCCCACTCGCTGTGCGGGCCATTGTCAACGAGAGCCCGAACAGGCGAGAGCGCCCTTTCCGCTATCTATGAAATTCTGGGAAGCGCGGCCCAAACGGGCAGCGCCGCCCGACTCGTCGAGATGGGGAACCGCTGCCCCACTGCCGTGCCCGACATGGTCAAACTTGCCAGATCGGACCAGCCCCTCGAGTCCATTTTGAAAAAGGCTGAGATATTTACATTATTTGCTTCTCTTAATTGTATGCAATAAGCTTATGAAACAAGGTTTAGTCACTAAAAGGCCACAGTCAGGCAATCATGACCTATAAGAAAGCGCTAAACGTCTGTCTTTTTGTGTTACGAAAATCGTAGAGCGAGCAATACGTCTTGCACCAATTTTGCACAGTGCCCCTCCGAAAATGGCACCTAGACGGGTCCACTCAAGCAAAACTGGATTACTGATTCGACTTTTTGCAGCGTCATGTATTTGTCTGACAATTAAACTTCGAGCCATGAATTTTAGTTCAAAGAATGCTCAGAAGGTCAGGTATTCTGCTGAAACAGCTCCAAAAAGCATTGATTGCGTAAGTAGTCGATTGGTCATGGTTTTACCTAATAAACTGAGATTTTTGCACAAAGATGTAGCTCATGGTGTTTATCATCCTTATGGTAATAACAACATCAAAAATAAATTCATTAATTCATTTAAATTCGCATTCGTTCTCCTGTAAAAAAGGTCTTTCTCCCAAAATTACCGATCTTACATGGAAAAACTCTGTGAAGAAGCAGTTGTTTACAGGGCATTCGTAAATTTTCAGCATTGCGCGGTGAGTTTTAAGGTCATTATTGCGACCATGATGTATTTGCAACACACCGGCACTGTATACAAACACCTTTATGTCGAATAGGATACAATTGTTCGAAAGAGGAGATAATTGTCCACCAAATTCCTCGAGTAGCATCTAAGGTTTTTTCTCAGAATAAACCAAGCAAAGGACCGTCTACGATGACCGTTTTTGATGGCGAGCTCGTTTGCATTTCCAATTCTGCAATCCAAGGGTCCAAATAGCTTATCCAAGTTATGCATCTGTTATGCTCCCTCCATTAGAACTGGAAAAGGAAGATGGCAATGCCAGCATTCTAACCATTTATGAAATGTCTCTTACTGTGACAGTCTTATGTCAGATATGCTTGTAATGATCATAGGAGTAAATTCACACAGTGAAAAAGGACATCTAGTTTGAGTAACAAAATTAAAACCAAATTTTTGCATCTGAAGATTCTTTGATGTTTTCCAACAGCAATGATCAATGCCACTCCGCTTCATTCAACTTTTTGTGATTCTACCCAACCTTCTGTTTTTGCGTAATAGGTATGCGATACTAGACTTACCTCTGCTTTCTCTTCCGCACATTCGAAACCTCGTGTTCCCATGCCTGATTAGCGTTTTCCAATATTTTATGTTGACTCACGTCACTTTTATATTTTTTAAGCATTTATCACCATGAAACGTTTCAGAACATGCGAGCGATTATCCTTCTGCTGCTTTTCTTGGCAATATGCTCAAGCGCACCAATACCACAGTAAGTTAAGTTGCTGAATCCATACCACAGCTCAACAAATTACTAAATATCGCCAAAATGAAACGGCTGCGCTTATTTCAGGTTCTCAACCGATCCATGGGGCAATGGCTATCTTGGCACTCCTCAACAACACTTTTGGCTTTTTTGTGCCACGCGTTCGTGTTCGGGAAGGCGATAATAATTCACTATACTCATATTGCTTTCTAATCACGTTGTTCCTTATTTATAAACAAATTACCACGCAGTAATTTTGCAAAAGAAATTTGCTTTGGATTTCAACGCATCGAAAGTTGTGCTTTTGAAAACAAACATGTCATCCTTCAAATGCTGAAGTGACACGGTGAAACTATTGAATGCTACGTTTTACGGCCCATTTGAATCCTTGGCATCTCTGTTTTAACTCTTGGAAACCCTTGTGCCATTTGATGTTACACGCATAACGTGCCCTCTATTTCATTGGGAGTGGCGCGTGGAGTGCAGATCTTCAATCGCCAATTAAGTCTGAGAAATGATTAGAGATCATGTTCGCAAAAGTATTGCAGAGCCCGATTTCCACCCACCACCCGCCAGTCCCAATGATACAGAGGGTAAAAGGTAATAATTCCGGCATAATTCCTAAAATCTTCAAGCATGCTATTATGTGAGGTATCCACAGATAGTGAAATCTTACTCAGAGATTTTCACTCTTTCAAAATCTTAGATTACTTTCTATGTCATGAACACGGTGTTTTGTGTAACCCAACATATTGAAGATCTTTAGAATTGAGGATATCTAAGGTATTCATAATCAAAAGCGTGAACTGCCGATAATCCAACTTGAAGGTGAGGCGTATATGATGCACGAAAAGAGAAGCTACCAACGCTGTGCAATATCTAAGAAATAAGGCGAGATGAAGAAGGTTTCACAAAACAGGTGTTTTTGAAAATAAGACTCTAAAGAGCGAATTCGTTAGTATATGCTAACAACAAAAATTCTTGAGCGAGGGACAAATTACTTGTACGTTGAGAAAGTATCAAAACATGACAAGTATAGTAAATGTTAGTATGCAGTACGAGTTTATTGAAGTAGAAATATTAGACATTTTAATTGGTCGATTATACCCGCCGTCAGAATGCTTTCATTTCTTTCCCTTGAAGACCACTCTCTTTCCCCTTCAGTTACATGGGTAGAAAGACTTGTAAATCTCACCTAGAGTATGCAGAGGTCGCATCTTTTATTTGAAACAGTCTTTAAGAAATTTTCTTCATGCACTTGTTATAATATTTCAAACAACTTCAATTCGATGCCTTGTCCCACCGTCCTTAAAATCCTGACAATGTAAGGATGATGATAGTATTATGCATTCCTCGACGACTATAAAAGAAGGCTGAGCTGTGGTAACTTTCATTTTTACTTCCCGAGGCTCACATTGAGGCCAAGCTTATCATCAAGGTTATTGTTACTCCTTATCGGAGTATGCTACCGTGACAGCGGCAGTGCCAAGGATTCAGCGACCTTTTGGTGTTGCAGTGTTGCTGGTCACTAATGTTGTCCATGTTGTTGCTATTGTAGCTAATGTTGCTGGTGTTACCAGTGTAGCTGCTATTGAGGGCTGTTGCGTTGCCTCCATCTGTTGTTGAAACAGTCCTATCGCAGTGGTTATTTGCATGGGCAGAGCCGTACAATAATGCAACAGGCAACACGGGCAACAACGACGGCACCAGCTACATCAGACATTGGCAACAACAGCAATGAGCTGCTGAACTGCAAGACGAAAAGGGAATAGATGTGTCGCTGCGAGAAATACATATCGCAAATAATTTGCGGTAGCTTTTTCGATACCCCGTGGCATCAGTTGCCATGGCAGGTTACGGTAGCATACCCCATAAAAAAAAGTCAGCATTTTCTCCACCACTGAACTGCTACTTTAGCTATCTGCATTCGTCAAGTACAAATGAAGAGCTTTATTCTAAGCAGCGTGATTCTATACTCCATGCTCAGAAAAACAGATTCTGTGTCAGACTGCTTGACTACACTTGATAGAGGAGATAACACTTCCTGCTCCAATGCCAATCCCGGAATACGTGTGAGTAGCTTTTTACATCGTTGCCTATGTCATGAAATTCGGTTATAGTTTATTTTAGTATTATCACGACGTGGAGACGGATATTTGCTTCCCATTTTTATATAAAGGCTGTGGTGGTAACAGCAATAACTACGCTACAATGAAGGACTGCTATATAGCGTGCCCTCCAGGTGCTTTCATCGAGTTTTCAATCAGGGCTCGTCACAGTTGGCTTATAAGCAAGTTGGATATCGTTTTTGGAACAGAAAGCAAAGGAGATGTAGTTTTTGTAAGCTCGAATTTGGGGTTTTTCTTTTGGTCGATTCGGGTAGTTCGGATAAGAGTCTGGGGGGACTTTGTTTTTTGCAATTTCTCAAAGCCATCTCGTGCCGAGCCCTATTCCTAGTGCTGCTAATATAGAGTTTACTACAGAGGTAATGTTTCACTGTCTGGGAAAAACGCCAAAAACGGGGACATGCGACAGAGATATGAAGGGCTGTAAGAGTGGAAGCGTATGCCTCTTGAGAGCATTTGGTCCTGGAATCTGTTGCGACATGGCAAATGAAGGCAAGGATTGCCTTGAAAGTTGAACTGTCACAAATTTTCTTTCTACAGCCGAGTGGTTGGAAGACTTTGAATGTCGTTGCTCTGAACAGTGGAAAGAAAAGGAGTGGAACGATGTTGAACATCTTCTAGGAAAGACATGCTCCCACGAGTCTGTTCTTTGCTTTGAACGAGACCTTCATTCTTTCCCTTACGATATTTTTCAGATTTTGTCCAAAAGACTTTGACTGTAAGCAGGGTTATCATTTGGCGCATTGCTGTCCGAAAGAAAAAAAAGAAAAAGAAGAAAAAGGGAGTAAAACTGTTGTTAACAATTGAAATAAACTTTTGTGTGAAGCGTTGATTACAAAATTATACAAGGCAATTTACTTACCTATATCAATTGAACACGAATACTGTAAAACTTTTCCGAGAAAAGGCAAAAATTTATGACTTCATGAAATTTGACTGGACATCACCCAGTTCACAACTCTTAGCAGCATCGGAAGAGAGCGGACTGAAGAGAATGAAAACGAACAGGAACTCTGAAACTTCGAACTCGGACTGAGTTCAGCACAAACAATTAGAAGTAGCTGCTATTTCGGATATTCTCAAAAGCTTTGAAGTTTTGTTATAGGTTTTTTGTGGATAATCAGAGCTTAAAGGTCCGGGCAGAATCTCGACTTCTATTTTTTGCCTTATCCAGGCCTTTTCATAGCGCTGATTCCAACAATGGCACTCAAAGTGCGTGAATTCCTCGAAAACCTCCATTCAATTTTGTGAGATCAGTGGACGAATGCTCCTAATGCTATCTTTGCAAGTATTAACAGGTAGACACTATCTGTTCGATTGTGTTTGCCACATGAAAACACGTAAGGGCTGAAGAGAGTTCGTTCAAGGGGGCGGGCCGTGCGAGGGAGTGGGCGTGGTCCTGGGAAGCTCGGCGTTTTCTGCGCCGATTTTCTCCTTTTGAAGATTGTGTACAAAAGTCGGACTTGTGCGATAGTTCTAGATCGAGGCTCTAGTACTCAGTTATGATAGTGTTCTATAATGTCCAAATCTGCCCGGACGATTTTCTGAAGCTGCGCAATGCCAGTTACGTGGCAGAGATCATCAATATCGATAAAGCCATCTGTTGATCTGGTCAAATAAATCAATGTGAAGCAGATTTTTCATACTTGAAATCAAATCTCAAGCTCACTTGGTGATAAACAGTTGAATGTTATTCTGAAGAACTATTTCATTTTTGGCGGAACAAAAGATTCTGAAAATTCCTACCGTAACTCCGAAATCATGGAGCCAGGTGATTTGTATGCTGTAAATTTTATTGAGGACAGCCCCACAGTTGACAGCCGAAACTCCAAACAAATTGTGGAAACAAGCCATCCAAAAAAGATCGAACACTTGGTGCATTTTTACGACACTCTGTATTGAGCGAAACATTGATGGAGAGCGTTTTACGTATAATTTCACACATTTGAAGCAAAAATAACAATTCAAAAAAAATTAGCAATGTACATAAGCTCCAGATAGGAACGTTCTTGAAAATAGAGCAACAATTTCTACAGAGCAACATAACAACTGAGATCACTTGATTTCAGCAAACCATTCGGCAGCAGCACGCTCGCAATCTTCGTCTATCAGCTAAATAAAACATTTCTAATTGCGCTTTTTCATCAATTCTGCTATTGCGACTATTTTTATTTACCTGAGTGTGGATGTTGGGATAAACAAGGAAGTAGAAGAGGCAGAATATGACAAATCCAAAAAAGAACGACATCTGGAATTTGCACCCTTTAATTCTTTTTGGCATAACAAACCCCTCCTTTTAGGCTCTATTTTTCTGCCAAAATGTGAAGTCAAGACAGTTTTCTCAAACTTTCCTTACGAGTACACTCGAAAGCCATCCGTAATTTGATATGTGGCTGCACACTCCGCTCCGAATTTCACAACTATTGGTTTCAGAAAAAGTCAATAGGACAATCCTTCTGCATTTTTTGCAAGTGTAGATACAAGCGAAAATGAGCGAAAATTTAAATGTAATCACTGAAGTTTTAAGAGTTTGAACACAACGAACCCAGCAATTTTTTACAGCTGAAGAAATCGTAAATTGAAGCGCACGGTGTGCAAAGACACAACTGAGTTCAGGATAACTGCGTTATATAACTACTGTTTCAAAAAAAAACGATATACACCAACAAAATTGGAATACCTGAGATATCCAATGAAATCGATGTATGAAGCGAGGAGTAAATTCAAGCCTTTTCGGCCTACTATCCATGCTTATGGTGGATTCCAGTTTCTCCAAAGGAACTACCCCGTGTAAGCTGGATGGTGGAAGTGAAAGCGAAGTTCTAGAAGTATAATTTTTACATAGATGCTTTTCACAGCAGGACTTTTATGGGAAAACCCTTTCATACATCGTGCAAAAGCTTCTTTTATTCTGTGAATGCTTTGCGTAGAATGAGAGTATGTAAAGGAGAGAATTTGCATAAAAGAGCCTTACACTTACTTCTGAACGCCATTGTGTTCAAGAACGTTTGCTCCGCTGTTCGAGTTTTCCTTACCATTTGATATGCGTATGATAGGAATCAACCCTGCGGCTATGGTATTTTCTCTAAATTACTAAGCTCGAGTGCTATTTGAACCTCATAGTATGTTACTTACATACCTCGTCAATACCAGCCTTTGTCGCATATATTTCACCATGGCCAACTTGATAAGTGAACAAAATACTATGCAAAAACAAACACCTGGAATACAGATCTTCAAAAAATAAACTTAATATTTCTTGAGCTGTAAACCCTTTGGTTTTTTTCGAAACATGGAAGAGAATAAATAATCAGGAATGCATTGTATTACAAACAATTATTCACGAGATTGATGCAATGCAATATTATTAAGATTTTTTAAAACCGCGTATATGTAACCTATTCAAAATAGGTGCAAAATGCTCTATTTTTCAAGTATTTCAGAATATTTGTTTCAGATATGTTTCGTCACAATTTCCACGCCGCGAAATTTTGGAAATTTACTTACATTGGTTATCAAAATGTGCAAGTGACTTGTTTATTCTTGTACAACTAAAATAATGTTCTAAATTTTTTAAAATTCAAACTAGGGCTAGGAGCCACGTCCCCTTTTTCTAGATTTTATGGCTTTTATGGGCAGCAAAAACTTTTGGAAGCACGCCTAGAAAACTTTCGGAGTGCATGGGTAAGACCACGCACCTTCATTTGAGATAAATTTTTGTCGCCCCCCTCCCTCCCTGGACGGAAATCCTGGGACCGTCATTGCTAAGAATGTTATCGAAAAACTACCTACCGAGATATACATCCATTGCTTTTATATAGCTAACCCGTGGCATTACCTCATTGTATGAAAAAAGCAAGAACGTAATGGTTAGTATAATCGAAATCATATCCTGAAAATAAGTTTATGCTGAAGAAGATTATTTTGATGTTGTTTTTCGAACAAATGACCTGAAATGACGTTTCATTTTCCATCCAAAGTGATACCCATGAAGTGATGACAACAGCTGTTGACGGAATGATTAGTTGTAGAAAGCAAAAACCTGCTGATCGTGAAAAGAGGAAACACACGTAGAGGCGAGAGTAATCACCTGAAATAGGAGACTGAGACGATATTTGCTCAAGTTTGTAGCTTTTTATGTTAACCAGATGTGTGTTTCTTTTGAAAGAATCACGTACTCTACAAAGGGAAAAAACTTTGAAACATAAGCATGATAGAAATGGAATTTTGAAATGCTGAATCACAGGCTAGGAAACGCAGATCTTTTAATAAGTTCCATGCTCTCTCTTCTCTGAACCTGGGCATTTGGGAACGGTAGTAATATTGTCAGATGATGTTACGCCAATGCCAGGTTTGTACGGTGGAATGTTTATTGGCCTTACGTTTCGACAAAATCGTCTTCGTCGGAGGCCTGAAAGTAGATTGCAGTGTTTTATCAGTGAGACCAGACCGCCAAACGCCTCCCCGCACTGCCGAGTCTAGATCCCTCCCGTACGCAACGTACTGAGACACTTTGATGAGAAACGTACCTCTTTTCCACCGCGGTGTTAGTGAGAGTCAGTAGAGTCAAGTTAGCCGCACAGTAGAGACGGACTAGACTGAGTCTTGCTCAGCGATCTACACTTATATATATGTAGGTGCAGGCTATCGTTTACAGATCGTTAAGATAGGCAAGAGTTCGGCTGTTATTGATACGCATTCATTTCTATTATATTATTCATACTAGGATTTCTCAGAGAGATCCACGCTGCCTCAATAGTCTTCCTCACTGAAATCTCTGCTTCGCGTGATAAGATAGTACATTTAACGTCAAAATCACTGCCGTTGTGCGTTTCAATTCTATGCCTTCCTAACGGTGACATCGCACTTGCTCGTCTTTTAGCTGCCAAATGCTCTTTGAGTCTAACATTCAACAATCTACCCGTTTCTCCGATATATGTTGCCCTACAGCTCAAGCACTCTAATTGGTACACTACTCCTGCCTTTGTGCAATCACCTATTTTCCCATACGGGCAGACAATGCAATGCTCCGTTGGACATTCTATATCGTAAAGCCTGTTCCTTACCAACTGCTTTTTGATGCTTTCATTCGGGATGTTCACAAGCATAACATCATTTTGCAGTTGTGCTCGAGCTATGCATCGCTTAATTGCTGCACTTACTTGATCGGAAATAAAAGGAATGCACAAGGGTACCTTGGCATTGTCGCGAGTGTGGCTAACGTTTGCATGCCATGAGGCATGTTGAAGTCGTGGTGAGTAACCATTACTACGCGCAATTCGTGTAGCCAAATTTAGGGACTCGAGTCGTTCTTGTGCACCCGTGCAAACACTGACAGCAGTTCGGAACATATTTCTTATAACCGCTCGTTTCACTGTTGATGGATGCGCTGAGTTGGCATGCAGCAGGATGTTCTTTGAACTTTCCTTTCGGTACCACTTCATACGAATCGTGCCGCCAGATAGATTTATCTGGGTATTTAGGTAGGAAAGCCATCCGTTTTTCGGGGTTTCTCGTGTAAGCGTTATGTACTGCGACTGCTGGTTTAGAATTCTGAAGCATTCGTCCATTTCGGACTGCGTCGATGTTATAACACAGCAGTCATCGATGTAACGGCAGTACATCACTGGCAAGCGGGCAAGAACTGGTGCCTCAATCTTACTCATGAAACAAATAGCCAGGATTGGGGCAAGACGTTGTCCCATCGCCAATCCTCTCATCTGAGAGTAATAACTCCCAGACCACTTAAAGATGTTACACTTCAAACATTCTTTGATGAGGACCAGTATGCTAGCTTTGCTGAGACCAAAAGTGACCATGTTGGAATAATGAATATCCAGCAACTCAGACAGGGCTTGCAGTGCATCATCGTTGTGAACATTAGTGTATAAGGATGTAACGTCAGATCTTTTAGTTCTTAAATCAACCTCTTTAGTAACTTGCGAACAGCCAAATTACCTCTATTTATATCCTCTCTGATTGTTCCGATATTAATTTGTCGTCTTCCGAGTTCTGAACGGTTTAGTTGCCTTGAAAGCACGATTGTATTTTGCTAGCAGAGGTCATAACAGTGCAATCAACTGCCAGTCCTTTAACACAATTAGGGCACAAACTTAGTTTTTTAACGCCCACAGGGTCCTCAAACGAGTTGAAAGCCCGTCTGGTGACAATAAAAATTCAAATGACTTTGAGAACAGTGAACCAAGCGTTTCGCTTCGCTGTAGGCAAACACACATAGAACGATCAGAGCACTGTTCTCATACTGTACGTCCTATGGGAAGCCATTGAGTTTGAACGTTCCAAACTGATCTGATCCTTCATAGTTCCCAGAACTCATCAGAAATCTAGCAATTTGATGAATTACACAAAAAAGTGTCTACATAAATTTGAGTTTTGTTTTAACACAGATTGTGACCCCCAATTGTCGCGCTAAACTGTTTGATTGTAGCAATGTTTTCGCCCCTATAATTTTTGTAAGGAATTTCCTGTATAAAAAAGATTAGACTGACATCACGTACCGGTAGCGTAGCTTTCGACACGACTCGTCACATAGCTCTCTTTGATTTGAAAATCAGGCAGGCTAATTTTGTGCAGTATCAACGCCTTTATTCGTCCCTTCGACCATATATACCGCACCTGGTCGGCTGTATAACCATCTAAAAATTTTACAAAAATTAGTATACCTTTCACTTTGAATGATTTATTAACAATCAGTAACTTACAACTCTCAATGCCCATTTTGCAAAGTTGTGAGTCAAAAGGGAAGAGAGTGAGATCCATGCCTGTGCAAATATGGTTTATAGAAATTTTAAGGACTTTAGATCAACAACTTACCGCAGGTGACAACCAGGGACAGGCGACGACTATACAAAACACTGCCATCGCTTCGTAACCTAAAAAGGAAACAGTTGCACGATAGTGAATTTACAGCAATTTCAGATTATCAAAAGTACTACGAACCTTTTATGTTTTTGACCTACATGCAGTCTATAGTTAGATATAGTGTAGTCTTTGAGACGAAAAAATTATAATGGTGCCATTGCGACACTCACAACCTTCGCGCGGAAAGACGGCGATTAGGAGCACTTAGTTCTGCGTTTTTTTACTATTGTATAGCTCAGTTCTCTAGACGTGTTGTCGATACAGATTGAACGGTGCATATATTATATTTTTGAGTTGTTTTTCATTTCTAACCAACATCTCGTTTGATCTCTTCCCACTCGCAAAAACTCAAACAAAATGGAGAACACACTGACTCGGCTCTGGGATACTGTAGATTGAAAAAACTACCCTAGGGGACCTCCCTCGCATTAGATTTATCTCGTTTCTACTTTTACTCAAGCCATGGGTGGTTTTGCATTGAAAAATGCCAGCACACCACTATCGCTCTTTGTGAGCGATGTTAATGCTTTGACATCATTTTGTTTGAAAAGAAAGAGATCGCTTGTCCCATCTGATTGATGCTGGTGCCAAACTTCGGTCACAAGCATCTTTCAGGAATCAATCAGTTTTGAGAAAAACGAAGCGTAATTATTGAAAAGTGACTTCGCCTTAAAAAATTTCTGTGCTCTCAGAAAAGTTTCGGCGCACGCTGCAGACTTTGACTTGAAGAAGTAAAGAAGTTCTATGGAAAAAAATTTGGTGGCAAATTCTAGAATCATTCTATGTATTGTATATCTGAGCCAAATACCTCAAATAAAGCGACTATGGTTGTCTTTGCAACTGATTGCCACCAAAAAATGAGCCTCTTCAATTTTAGTCTGAACACCGCAAACTTTTAAACAGACAACATAATTAGTAGGTTACGCAGACCTTATAATCGCAAATTAAATACCGAGGAAATATTAGGTCCTGTAATCGCAACCAGTAACAATTTGATTAATAATTTTTCCGGACAACTTTTCGGTACAAGCAAATCAGTACAGGATGGTTCGGGCACTTTATGACTTTAGAAGAAATTAAACGAATCGCCTTTTCGTTTTCTCTCGCACTCATAGGCTACAAAGATGATTGAACTGATTTTAGCGAATTGATCTTTTGAGGCGATTGAATTAATCAAGGAGTAACGGCGCCATAAAGGAAGATGTGCATTTTTAAAATCTTGTTGTTGAAACTTCAATCGGAAATAGTGGTGTGTTGATGCAGAATATCACGGGGGAACTTCTTGCATGTTGATTACGATGATAACATCGGTAGCGTCCGAAAGGAATTTTTCTTGGCAAGTTGCGACAAATATGTGACATGCCAACCACTTTATTTTCGCAAAAAAGCTCCTTGGAGCACAAGATATTACGATCATAACTAGCTGGAGGGGTTCAAGAATTGCCTTATTGTTAGACGTATTGAGCTTAGGGATTTTGACCTATCTGCCATATGCCCGCGTAACCTCCTCGGATGTAGTATTTGTAAAACAATCCACGGAATTCGCGAGTCAAATAGTATATACCCCTGCCCATCTCTGGCGAAATACAGTAGATTCATAATTTTGAATTCGGGGTTCCTCTTGAATGCATTAGTATCTATCCCCGAAGCCCTTATTGACTGAGTCATAGGTGTACATAAATCTCAGGAATTTAATCGAAATATTAGATTAGGCTCTGTGTGATCAGTATTTAAAATGGTACGAACAGACAGCACAACTGAAGGCCTGTACATCCCAGTACCAAAAATCTAGAATTTGGGGCAAATTTACCTTAGCAATGATCTGTGCGTAATGCTTTGCTTTCGAGGATTTTTTGATGCTATTGCATTTGGAATGAAGGTATCGGGGTGCCAAAGAAAGTCCGAGTAGCTCTCATGCAAAGCGATTTCTGTCTGCAATTTTGCGATATATAGGAGAGTAAAAGGCGGCAGCAAATGTATACCTTGTTCTTGAATTTTGCCTTACTGTACTTGAGCCGAGGATCTCGCCATTCTTCCCGATAGAACATTTCGAGAGAAAAGTCCTGAATGTGCAATTTGTGGCTTAAATTTGACTGTTCAAATAAAATTGGTGAGAAGTTTCGCGATTGAAGAGGAAAAGCCCAAAAAAGAGAAAATGCCAGAATTAAATACACTGCAAACCAAATTCCCTTAGAGGGACTGGAGGCTACTTATGGCTTATTGCTTACCATAGTCACTTCAGAAACTGAGCGAATGTTGCTGACCACGATGGAGACATTGACGAAAACTGGTCCTCAAACACCTTGAATTGAGTGCAAGTATAACCCTCCCCCTGCTTACCTCCAGTCTCATCCTCGGGGCACTGCCTATGGTCATATCGAATCATCTTCAAAAATTGCAAAAAATCCCTAGTCTCTCTAAAGTTCGATTCTCAGATCTAAATTTTACGGCTGCTATGGCACCTACCCTTGCTCAAAAATTCCAGCTCTGTCTAATTCATTCCTTATATGTTCTTCATCAAAGTCTTCCAACTCTTCAATGTTATCGTCCGAGTCCATCGATTGTTGATGCGATTTTTTCAAAACAAGTGCTCCCCGGACGGCGTCACTCTGAGCAATTTCTATGATGAGCGGGAAGAGAGAGAAGTCTGAGTAAACTCAAAATAGCAAGTTTTGGTGCCCCATCGGGAGCACTTGAGAACATAAGCGATGTTGCTTACTTACATCTGTGAATAGAGACGCGATAATCAGGCTTAGCAGAACGAACTCCATATGTGAAGTGAATTCTAAAATATGTGACTGTACTTACAGATAAACATATTATAGAGAACCAAGGAAAGATTACATAATATGCACGATAATGTACAAAAAGTTTAACAAATCTGAGAAGACAGAAGTAGATGAAGGAAAATATGCGCAGGAAACTAAGAGCTAAGAAGAAAAAATCAGCGTATTTTTCTATTTCGTGCTGTCCAGTCAGAAAAACTTCCCGATACAGGAGTGAGCTTACATCAATATTGGTATCAATAGATGATGGTCCTGAAGAAAAAAATATTGGTATGCAGCCGTGGCGGTCCCAAGGATTAGATCGGGCGCCGGATTTTTTTTTTCTGAATGAAGGCTCGAGGTTCGCACGCTTTCATTTCAAAAAAAAAAAGACCGGGGCAGTAAAGCCCCCAAAATTTCTTTCGAAAAGTCAGTCTGGAATATCAAAACCGATAAAATCTGATCTACAAATGAAAACAAGTCATTGCTGCTCAATTTGATATCTATATTCTGCTATACTCATGAGCTTCGTATATTGCTCTCGGGGTGGGGACGCGCTAGCCCCCTGCGCGCTCCTCTTTCGGTTCGACTATGTAATTGGATAAATATCTTGAATCATTTACGGTTCTTTCTCATCTACGTCTGCAAAGACTTCTTTAGCGATTTCACTTCACAAGCAGTCTCGGTTCTTTGACACATTCGAATTTCTGCAAAAAAAAACTAGGGTTAGCAAAGAACGCTCATTATAACGTGCAGTACTTTTTTACAATAATTGCTGGGTAAAGCTGACCTCGCAAAAGTCGACTAATGATCAATGCCAGCGCACTGAAGATGCGGTGTAAGGTAAAATCTCTAATTCACTCACAGAAAACTCCGAAGTCATTGAGTATGGTTTTTTGTAATATTAGAAAGGGCAGTAATGCGCAGAATTTTAGTATTGTTTCTAAGTATTTATCACGTGTTCTGGTTGATTAAGTAACTTTTTTTACATTTGCATAAATGAGCAAACATAATAGAATGTATTAGATTGGTGCAAAATAATGAGCGCTCTTTATTCTGATGTAGCAGTGATGGCATAAAAATGTGCAAAGCATCTCATTAGATAGAGCAAATCAAGTTCTACAGGATCATATCAACAATCACAAAAAGTTCGATAATAGGGAAGTTCGAGAGAAGAATCTAAAAGAATTTCAATTATCCAAAAATTGGATTTTAGTGAAATTCTAACAGATCTCTACTTGCTCAAATAGTCACTTATCGCATCAGCTACATATTTATATTAGGTTGTACGGAAATTAATGCAGGTTTTGAATTCCAACTGCAACAGGTCAGGTCGGGTCAACAGGTCATACACTTTTCATTTTTAAGTAGGTTCCAAAACACCATTCGATAGAACAAAGCAAGCTCTACAAAATGGTTATTTTGCTTTAGCAACAGCTCTAATCACCAATTCGAGCCAAAAAATAAAAAGATTCAGCCCGAAAAATTGAGAAAAATCATAACTCAGTTCATAAGAACCCTACAAAAATTCTAGCTTACTCACGCAAACACTATCCACATAAGATATCTATATACGCCTTTGCCGTATTTTTTCCTCTGTTAAAAATCAAGAAAACGGAAATTTTCATGCATTTGGCAAAGTGGTCCTGTACCGTTCCCACTTAGGTATTTGTATACTACAAACCTGTAGAAGTATAAACGTAAATTTTCAGCTCGTTACAAGCTTTAGTTTTCGAGAAATACCGAATATAGCTTTCTTTAGTCAGGTAGTCCAGGCTAAAATTCAAATTTCTCGAAAAGAAAGCTTGTAGAGAGCTGGAAATTTACGCTTGTACTTCCACAGGTTTGTAGTATACAACTACTTATGTGGGAACGGCACAGCACCACTTTAGCAAATGCACGAAAATTTCCGTTTCCTTGATTTTCAACAGGGAAAAAATACGGCAAAGGCGTATATAGATGCCTTATGTGGATTGTGTTTACGTGAGCAAGTTAGAATTTTTGTAGGATTTTTATAATGAGTTACGATTTTTCTCAATTTTTCGGGCAGTTGAACCTTTTAAGTTTTTTGGCTTGAAACTCGTGGTGGATCAGAGCTGTTGCTAAAGTAAAATAGCCTTTTTGTAGAGTTTGCTTTGTTCTATCGAATGATGTTTTGGAACCTACCTAAAAATGAAAAGTGTATGACCTGCTGCAGTTGGAATTCAAAACCTGCATTTTCCGGACAACCTAAATATAGTCGTCCTCACCCCACTAGTCGGTCGGTGGTCGAATTTGAATTCGAACTGGAGCAGGCCGGCCGCGGCAGAGCGCGGCAGACGCCGCCCCGAGCCAACCGCTTGCATGAGCTTTTTTCTTATTTTCTTCGTGTTTCTTTGCTATCTCTCGTATTGCGGCAATGTTTTCAATCAGTTTTTTTAGATTTCGTGCCGCTAACTATTGCTTTGTGCATTGTGCTCGTTCGTTTTACATTTTTTCCATGTAAAACGGGAAGAAGGATGCGATTGGAAATTTTGAAAATGAGATATCTCTTTTCCCGTAAATGACATATACACAAATGTGATTTGATGAACTTTGTCAAGTTTTTCTTCAAAATGTGTACTCTAAACTATTTTTTTTTGCGATAGGGCTGAAATCGTCTCAAAAAGTGTTTGTATCAAAGAGTTAGCGGTACGAAATCTGAAAATCTGTTAGGAACATTGCCGCAGTACAGAAATAGCGAAGAAACAGGAGAAAATAAGAAAAAAGCTCGTGCAAGCGGTTGGCTGAGGGGCGGCATCTGCCGCGCTCTGCCGCGGTCGGCCTGCTCCAGTTCGAATTCAAATTCGACCACCGACCGACTAGTGGGGTGAGGACGACTATACAGTTGCCGTATTTTTTTTCGTGGCTATAAGTTGAGGGTGTGAAAATTGGCATGCTTCAGCAAAAGCAATGATGAACTTTTCAAACATGAGTATCTATCAGTGGCGTACCGAGGGGGGGCTACACTATATACTGCGCTATACTTACACAAGAAAGCAAAAAAATAAAAAAAAATCAGCAGAAGTTGCAAGGGGAATAAGATATAAAGGTTGTTGTTGTTCCAGTTGTCAAAAGAGATAGAGCAGAATGATTACAACATCGTGAAAAATTAGCAAAAAACTGTTTGCGTTTACCGGATGAATGTCTTTCTTCAAAAGGACCAGCAGCAATCAATTCAAAACTACAGTCTTCAAATTCAACGATTTGCCAATTAATCCTACGCTGGCGTTTGATGGAACACATGTGTAAATTCAAAGAGAGATGATTGAGTCACAAAAGCCCAAAAGCAATTTTTATCAGTTTCGCTTCAATTGTTTGCAAAAAAAAATGTTCTCAAGCGATAAGATTTGATGGCAGGCCGGCACTGAAAAAATCAGCAAAGAGCTGATATTGTTTTGGATTTGCATCAAAAATGGTCTATCAGAATTTCCCTAGGAACCGCGAGCGACTTTGCCCGCTTTCGTACAAACCAGCGATCCAGTACATCTTCATGGCAATTGGTCAGAATTGACAAATAAATTCAAATTTACCATTATATTGCGATAAGGTGCTATAATTAGGGCTACTGAAGATGAAGCAGTCGGTTTCGCTCTCCTAGTAATTAGGAGTATTTGCGTAAATGACAGTTTATCCAACTGTATACAAGTCGCTACTTACGACTGATGTGACCAAGAAACACGTGGTTAGACAGGAAGATTTATTGCAGAATGACTAGGCAAAATAAAGAACAAAGTTAAAAATGAGTTGCTAAAGAGGAGGGAACACAACACCTTACTTGGTGAGTGTTCTTGTTAAGACTGATTCTTCTAAGTTCAACTTGTAGGCGTGATTACCTTAGCTAGGGCTCCGCCCCTCTATATCTCTCATACTCCGATCTCTCATCGTCCTGGGTATGTGTGGCCACACCCACTCCACTGGATCCAAATCGATTCCTAGAGAGCTTTGGGCCACGCCCCTCTCATCGTCGGAATCTACGGATCTCTCACCGGCGTGTGTCCGCGGGGTATGACAGTCGCGCTTCATTAACTAGATCGGTTATTGATTGGCAATAACTCATGAATGAAGAACACAGCCAAAAGAAGCACGCTCTAATTAGCTTTCGTTATTGACTGCCAATGACTCATTATAGAAAACAAACTGGCAAAAGCAGCACTGATACAACATGGGGGTCCCCTCAGAACTAAGCGCTTCCACTGCGCTTAACAGCGTAAAATAACCTCTCACTTCTAGAGAAATACTTTTCAAGTGTTACTATCATAACGGAACTGTATGCTACTGAGCCCAGCCTCTCTTAATTCAATTCTCGCACGCTTCCAGCGGCTTTTTTTTCTACAACATTGCAGTCCGCAATAGTACTCGCTTTGACAAAAACAAACCTATGGCTCCATCTTTGCGACTTCGGGGAAAATAACTGAACACTGAACTCCCAAGTTCACCAACAAAAAAAAAGGTACTACATGGAAACAGTACAGAATAACATTGGATAATGATTATGAGCAAAAAAAAGAACTTGATGACAACTAAAAAAACATTAACAATGAGATCACTTAGAGTTTCTTCAGAGCAGGAACTAGTTGTAAGATGGTCCTTGTGTTGATTGATCGAACGTCGAAACATTGTCCCTCCAAACTGCATCTGTGCGAATGTTTCCGATCCTTGTCTCGTTACGGTGGCATCCTGGCTTGCGTTTCCGCCTTGATCTTTTCCGATCTTTCGCGCTTCGTGTTTGCGCCAAGAATTTCTGCACTGTAGCAACACGATTATAGATCGCTTGCTCTTCACCAGGCTGGAGCTCTTTAGAGCAATTAGCGCCTCCATTTGAATATCTCAACTCAATCCCTAGGTCGTGCATTGGTGCCCAAAATGAGCGTGGTATTCCCACTCTTTTGAACATGCATGTGCACAGGGGCTTCCCTGCCCCCTTGTACACCAACTATAGTGATTACTTCTCCCAAGAAGTTCATGATGTTCCTGATGCGTCTGTAAGTTTACATCGATTAC